AGAACTTTTCTCCCAGAGGAAGCACCCACCTACTTGTCGTTCCGACGTCACTTCGTGAGGAGATACTTTGTGCTTGCCACGATGAGCCAACGTCATCTCGGATACACACGCACATTGGCCAGAATCCAACAGAGATACTACTGGCCAAGACTTCCAGCTATTGTGAAGCATTATGAGCGCACGTGCCTCGATTGCCAACGACGAAAATCGCCACCGTTAAAACCAGCTGGGCTATTACAACCAATTCAAGTGCCCACGGTACCTTTTGCCCAAATTGGAATGGATCTCCTTGGACCATATCCGACTTCCCATGCTGGCAACAAGTGGGTAATAGTCGCCACTGATTATCTTACGCGCTATGCCGAAACAAAGGCTTTGTCAAGTGGCACCGCCGTTGAAACCGCACGATTCTTCGTAGAAAATATCGTTCTGAGGCACGGTGCTCCAATAATTATAATAACGGATCGAGGTGCCGCTTTCACGGCCGCGCTCCTGAAGACAGTGCTTGAGCTCAGTGGAACCGCCCATCGGAAAACCACTTCCTATCATCCACAAACCAACGGCTTAACAGAACGCCTCAACAAGACTATTGCCGACATGTTGAGTATGTTCGTTGACGTGGATCACAAGAACTGGGACGACATTCTACTGTACATAACGTTCGCCTATAATACAGCGCAGCAAGAAACTACACGAAGAACGCCGTTCAGTCTCCTTCATGGCCGTGAAGTGACGACGATGCTTGACGCCATGTTACTGCACGACTGCAATGACATCGATTTGGACGCTGCATCTTTTATCCAACGAGCAGAAGAAGCGAGGCAGCTTGCGCGCGTCCGAATCACCCAGCAGCAAAATTATGACGCCCAACGTTATAATCTGCGACACCGACATGTCGTCTATCGGGCCGGTGACAAAGTCTGGGTATGGAGTCCTATCCACCGCCGGGGACTGTCTGAAAAATTGCTGAAGAAGTATTTTGGCCCCTACACAGTTTTACAACGCCTGAGCGACGTTAATTACGTGGTCGTTCCTGACAACCCCTCGACAACTCGCCAGCAAAAACCAGAAATCGTGCACGTTGTGCGAATGAAGCCCTACTTTTCGGACTGATTTACACCATACATCTACTACACCGTCTTTTGTACAAGAGCATCGGGACGCTGCTCTCTGGAGGGGGGCAAATGCCACATTGAATATGCAGCACGAAGAGAACAACGAAGAACACGCGCAGCAAGTGAAGAAGACGAGGTTCTCTTCCGATCAGTTTGCCAGTATTCTAATACAATTAAAGTGAGTTCCCTGGATTCGACTGTTGCTGTTTCTGCATTGTGACAATATAACAAACCTACTATTTTCATGTAAGATGCAATGTTATATAGATGTTTGAGTGGACATTGCATACAGGCATGTTGCGGCGGCTGCATTTCCGATGGAGGCGGAAATGTTGTAGGCCCGTGTACTCGGATTTGGGTGCACATTAAAGAACCTCAGGTGGTCAAAATTTCCGGAGCCCTCCACTACGGCGTCTCTCATAATCAATTGGTTATTTTGGGACATTAAACCCCACAAATCAATCAATCAATCATACAGGCATGCTGTATTAACTATAATTCATTTATTTGCTGTGTTTGCATCATCAATAGGGTTAACAAAACAAAGCGACTAATTTTGAGTAGTGCCCCATTTATGCTTGGCTCCTTCCACATGACACCACGAGGTGGTCATCTGCGGCACTGCCATGGACTACCAAGCTTCCTCATGCGCACATATTGCCTTCAACGCCACACAAGCACGACACCCTTAGTAGGCTCTTTACTAGTTCATAGTGCAACTAGTCACCAATAAATGTCTCCAAATGCATTAACACTAAGGAATAGATCACGATCTGCAAGGTCATCACTAGTGTTGAAGCTGTTGCCAAAATCGCTGAACCCACAGTAAGTCATGAATCTGGAGTGCACCTTCGTATCTTTCCCGACTCGGAAAATTTTGTTAGACTAGGATCCTGTGGCATTGGAACACGTTCTTGCATATTTTGTTTTTACATCAGCGAGAACCCCTAAATCGAATTTGAATTTCTCTGTTGCTGCATTCAAATGCTTCTGCAAGGTTGTCAAGCTTGGCAGCGAAAGCATGTATTACATGTTTTAACTCGGTTCCCTGGCATCTAATACGCGCACACTTGCGAGGCACACGCTGTGCAATAAATGATTGCAACCTTTTTTTTTTGTAGGGAAACGTGCACTTTGCTACATTATGCGAAATTCTGTGGAGAAGCGTGCTACCCTCGACGCATCTCTAAGGCATTATGCGCACATTGTTGATGCCGCGGCTGCTGATGAAGAATAACGGACAAGATTATTGTAATGGGTGCGAACCAATGAATGACCCACCCTTCGCACAATTCGCATTCTGTGATGCCTGGTTATTATTTTACTGTCGCTTTTTTAACCAGGCCGTATTACACACATTAATGCAATTCCTTCCCCGACATGAAGCCTGTATACAGTGGGTCTTTTTGTGAACGAGTTTCCAGCAGCGGCGTGGCTCTGAGATAGAATAGTCGACTGCCACACAAACAATCGTGGTTGGAATCCTATTCTATCCGGGGTGTTTTTTCTGATATAGTCTTTTTTTTTTCTCATTTCGCATAATAGCGATTAAGAACATCGGTGCCACCGGACAACTACTGCACCAAGAACAGCCCTTGTTCTTTCGCTGTAGCCATCTCGAGTTCAAGTGGGATGCAAACCTAGGCCTTCTGCGCAGCAGCCAGGTCCCGTTCCACAGGGCCATGCCAAGGTTTCGGACAATAAAAGACCTGTACAGGTGCCGTGCAATGCTGCATGGCAGAACTGCACAAGGTGAAGTGGGCAACAGGTGCATGTTATAAATACCTATCTATCCATTAGAAAGAACTGAGGCATAATTAATTATATTCAGAAATAGCATCAAGGAAGTGTGCAGCTGTGCATTTTGCCTTACGGATGAGCGAGGTGAGGCAACTGCTTGGTGGTCACTTCGACAACGCGCAGTAAGATGTCTTATGGCATGGTGGGTACTTGGCAACTGTACCTCAAACTTCCAACATTAGGCACACATACGTTCCTTTTCTGACAAGCAAGGTTGAAGTGTCCACTGAAAAGCAGAGCCTGGCAAGCGAATGAGACTACTATGTGAACGATGTTCAACAAAGTTGTCGCAATCAACTTTTTAAGGCAAAGTTCAAGCGTCCCAAGTTTTCTAAAGCTGTTTGCAAGCTTCATTCACCGCTCAAATACCTGCTAAAAATGGTTAAGCAGTTTGTTCTTCAATATTGCGACTATGCAATTGGCTTGGCGCAACATACGAAATGCACGCTTCAACGCTGGCATCGCGACTACCGGCGGCGAAACCTGGCACTTTAGAGTTGCCGTCTTCTCTTGAGCGTCCCCTTCTGGCGAGTCTGCAAAGTGTCGGAAAGGCCAAGGCACTTTAGGCAGGATGATGCTTCCGAATGTGCAATAAAGGAGCACGTATTGTGGCGCCACCTGCGATCCGCGTCGATGTACGCGCCTTTAAGTTTAACCTGGCGTTGCTCCACAGCACTCGGCCCTCCGGCACAAAGCTTAATTTGGTCCACGTGCTCTAAAAACGATCGCACATCTTCGACAGTCCGCAGCTCGCCCGAGTAATTTAGCTGCTCCATGGTGACGCACTTTCCCATGAGGAATAGGCGAACTTCCATTTTCTGGTCGATTTGCACAACCCCGAGAGCGCTGAAGGGACTAAACAAACCCGCACCTCCAGGCGACTGGTCGCTCGGAAGTGCTTGCGTTGACATGAGCTCCGAAAAAACGACGCTTTTCTCGTCACCAAGTTTTAGCCTGTGTACACCCCATGACTTTGCGGGAAGAAGGTGACAAGGAATGTTTTCAAACAGGCTAGAGAACACGGGATACTCGTCCTTAACTGACGGTACGGTGCAGCCTTGTTCTTCACCTGTCGTGTCCGCAGAGTTGCCGGATACGACAGTTGGTGACGCAGCGCGAGGACCGTCGGTCACCGGGGAATTGACAGTTACCGGACGACTGACTGTCACCGGCTTTTGCTACGCAAGGGTCTTGCAATAGATGGCGGAGCGCTTTTCTTCGACGCGATAGAACGTGTTCTCTGAGCCGGTCTCTTCCTGCTCTTTGGTGATCTTTGAGCCGGCTTTTTCCTGCTTAGGGTTTTGGAGACGTGCACCGCACAGTCGGGGAACCTGGTGGGCACGGCGTCCTTCGCCAACGTCGCCCGTCGTGGCGCGCTCATCAGGACGCGTCCTTCGTAGTAGGCTGTCCATTCCTTGCACACGAGTTCGGGCTCGAAATGCCTTTCGCAGACGTGGTCTACCGGCTGAAGCACTCGGTCCTTCCGAGGAATCGCGCGCCTCCATTTCTCCAGGAGATCGTCGTCTTTCGGCGCGGAGAATACCGAAAACTTGTCTTTGCACGTCTTGTAGCCCGTTTTGCAGTGGGGCACAAAACATTTCCTCCCCATTACACGCCACTATAGAGAACAGCTTTACGTACCACGCTCATAGTTAACTAGAACATGATCATATTCTAGTTCACTATGCATAATGCTGCAAAATCGCGCACAATCAATCAACACCATCTAGAAACCTTTTCTAGATGGTGTTGGAACAATACGATGATGACGATGGCAACGTCTTACCACCATGGAGGAAGAATGCTTACCACAGCTACAGTGTACATCTAGTACACTGTACCACAGCCTTACGTTGGTGAAGTATTTCTGCGCTCTAAACAATTGCAAAATCAATAAAAACGTGAGTGCATTTTTGTTCATGTCGCGGTGATGTGTGTCAAATTATATAAGTTTTTTAATCTTTTGAAAAAGACAATTTTAAAAATTTGTAGTTAATTTTAGAATCACACTTGTAAACGCGGGCCACCCTGCGCATGTGGCGCAAGTGATTATATATATATTTTTTCAAAAGCCCGCCTTGCACGAATGCAGGGACGAGTCGAGGCGAGCTCAGTTCAGGTATTCTTTGGTTCAGTTTTGTAAGCTGCTTACAGCGTGTTAATCGTCGTTGACGTCGTCTCCTACACCGAGCTACGAGGAGATAGATTCGGGGCACGTCAGATGCATCACGCACCGGCGAGTCGAAGTCAAAAGGCGATGCTTCCGCGCTCAAATAGTAACTGCTGCAATCGTCGCTGCCAACAAACTTCTCACTGGTAAGTTCAGACGAGCTGTCGCAGCTTGATTCCGCGTCAGATGACATCGCCAACTTTCTGTTCGCGTGTCAGAAGAGGCACGTCAGCTATGTGTACACCCTGGCCAGCCTTGGTGGTGTGCGGCGGATTTCGTAGATTTCGTCACGTTATCACCGAGATTTATACTATTAACTAAGACACTCGTCTGTGTAACGGCTTTCTAGATGAGGCGTTGGTGGTGGAAATCTACAATTTTCCTTGCGCGAGCCGACGTGACGAGCAGAAAGTTTTGTCCGGCATAAGTACTTGCAAGAGCCTCTGCATGCACACATGCCACTCGTTTCCACAGCTAGCTTAAAGGAGCTAGTCATGACCGAAAACATTTCACCCGTATAAGGCCCAATTTGGATCAAAAGTGGACTTCTGTGCCGTGACAATGTGCCGCAAGCATTTGTTAGTCCATCGAATAGCAACTACTAATGTACCAGCAAGGTATTCAATCACTTCGAGCTGAATGACCCAGCCGGAAGTATTTACAGCTAGAAAGTTTGTTTCTACATGGTTATGACAAGCTTATCCGCGTACGTAGAATACACCACAGCTTGCATAGTTGCTTACTCATTACGATAAGGTCATGATAGAGGTGTGCATCATAAGTCTTCCCTTGTGCTTGACATAGGGAAGTGAGTTTATTTTAAGGGTCGTCATGATACGACTTAAGAATAAACTTTACAACTTATTCTTGAAATCAAGAGTACTGACAGATCTGGCAGAGTTTAAAAAAACACGTAACAAGCTGAATCGGGAGCTTAAGCGAGCTAAGGTAACTTACTACGAGAAAATGTTTGCTGAAAGCACCCAGCAATCACCTGATGTTGTTTGGTGCTTAATTAATGATGTGCTTGGTCGCGGTAAGCGGGACTCCGCACCAGCTAAGATTACCGTTGACAATGTCGAGCTCGCTGGTAAAGAACTTGCGGATCACTTGAATAATCATTTTGTCAATGTGGGTGTATCAGCAAACGTGCCTTTGCAGGCAAACTCTTTCAGGGCTACACCAGGAAATAAACGCCCCGACAGTATTTTTCTAGCACCAACAGATGAACGAGAAATTTACACGACATTCATGAACCTAAAGAACAGTAGGCACTAGACATTGACAACATTCAAATAAACCTATAAAATATGTCTTAGATTGCATTACTCCAGCGCTCAGCCACATTTTCAATTTGATACTTGAGTCGGGTGTTTTTCCAGAAGATATGAAAAGAAGCAGAGTGACTGTGTTGTTCAAGAGTGGTGACAGTAACCTGGTGACTAATTATAGACCTATATCTATTATTCCTGTGTTTTCTAAAGGATTAGAAAAGTTAATCTATACGCGTATATCTGCCTTCTTCTGCTCCAGAAATATAATCACTGACTTTCAGTTGGTTTTAGGAAAGGAAGGTCAACGGAGACGGCCCTATTAACACTTAAGGAAATGATACTGCAAAATTTTGAACGAAATCTTTTCACGTTAGCTGTTTTTCTTGATTTCAGCAAGGCCTTCGATTGCATTAATCATACCATTTTACTGCTAAGCTTGAATCATACGGAATCCGTGGCACGTCACTTCAGTTGATAAAGTCATACTTGCAAATAGACAGCAACGCGTACAGTTAAGCACTCATACGTCATCATATTTACCTGTTCTAAATGGTGTGCCCCAGGGAAGCGTACTGGGGCCGCTATTATTCAATGCTTACATAAATGACATCGTGGATATTGATCCCAGTGTGAGCTTTGTTATATATGCTGATGACACGAACTTACTTTTTTCAGGCCCTGACGCAAATGAGCTAATTATCCGGTGTAATAAGCTATTGAACAAGCTTTTCTTGTGGTCTAGCAAAAATTTATTGAAAATTAATCCACTGAAAACAAAAGCCATCGTATTCCGAGCTAAAAATAAAATATTTTCATCAACACAAGCGTTAGTTTACGCAGGTGAACACATTCGTTTTGTGGATGAACATAAAATTCACGTTTTCATCAAACCTCAGCTGGAACCAACACGTCGTTGACATCTGCAAAAAAGCCTCTAGTGTAGTTGGTGTGCTAGCTCGTTGTAGATATATCTTACCCGCAAAGGTGAAACTGCAAATATACCATGCTCTTTTTCTTTCGCACATAAATTACTGCAGTTTGGTGTGGGCAACACCGACTAAAACGAACATAATGAAACTTCAGACCATGCAGAAAAAAATTATTAGACATGTCGCTAATTTAGATTATTTGTCATCAACACAACTTGCGTGTCGGGACTATGGTATTATTAAAGTGGAATATATGTATATCTTTCGCATTCTGCGATCCTACTATTTCTCTTCCATTTCGTTTAAACAATTCATTAAAAATACCGCATGTCTAACTGCAAAAAATGTTTTGTTAGGAACAAGAAGCAGTGCTGTTTGGTTTGTTCCGAGGTTTCGCAATAATTATAAATCTCAAACATTGCAATACAATTTACCAATGATTCTCAATAAATACAGTCATGTAAACAGTTTCTCATTAAAAGAACTACGATCCTTTTTTGTAAATATAGGCTAACTTTTTTCACGTTGTAAAATGTGCTGTCTGTACGATAGTACCAATTCATTTTTCTTTCAGTGTGTGCATCCATGCTGTACCGAATAGGTTATATGAGATAATTCAGTCTGTATAATTTTGTTTGTCTGATATATGTACATTGTATGATGCAGCACATACACAAGGATCAAATTTGTATGCATCTTCCCTGATATTTTCATCATTTTTATTATTTTATTTTTTTGGCCATATTGGTGTTATGGTTGCTGGATTTTTCTTTTGTTTTCTTTCTTTGTTTTTTTTTTTTTTTTGCTCGCGTCCATGTAATCTTCTGTGCTATGCTGGTATCAGGATGTTTCGTAGGAATGTATATATATGTTCTTATTACACCATATTTTGGTATTTTTATGTTAGCTTATGGTCTTTATTGTTACACACATCTTTTGTAATTGTCCCACCTGCCTTGTATAGGGTTCACTGGCCTCGTCAAGCTGTCCATAAACAGCTTTTAGCCAGTGAACCTCTCCAGAACCTGTTTCTCTCTGGGAAAATAAAATGATTTGATTTGATTCCAATTCCATTTTGGGTAATAGTTGTTACGGACACTAGCGGCGGCGGTGTACAAATACAGCACTGCGCATGACCCTTGCTGTGATCTCATAAGGGCTTTCCCTGTAGAAAGTCTGATAAATCACTTCTTTCAATGAGCATTGTAGAAGGCGAGCACCTACTTCATCATCAACATTTTGCCACTCAAACTTCATTTACTGCCGAGAGTTCTGCGCTACAATTTTTGCAGCAAGTGAACTTTCTGAAAGACTGTGTGCAACTGTGGCCTTCTTTCACTTGCAGAGGAATGGAGTGTCAGTTGGGCCACTCTTTCTCAGCGTGGCTCTACACTGTAGTATATACTTAAATATTCATCAGCTCAAACTGATCTGCACCAAACGTGGGACCATGTGTCATATAGTGTATCGAAGTTCCACCTGTTGCACACACACGCACACGATGGATGAATGGGGTCATTGAATGATCTTGGCTGTGCAATAAAAAATGTGCTCAGGTTTCAAGGTCTCTCCTCGCAGTACAATTCTTCACACGGTGCAATCCTTGATGGCAGCAATATTTTTTTGATGAGAAGACAGAAACCTATATAGGATATTACATGCAGCTGTGTTACGTAGAGAAATGTATAGGGAGGAGCACATTAGCTTGGCTGCAATCCTGGGATGGTAAGAGCTCAGAGGCTGCATTATTGTGCCCTAACGTGCCAGTTCGGTAGAAAAGCTATGCAAATGTCATTTGATGGGCATATTCCATAACCACTTCGGGCAATGGAAAATGCACACTTGTTAGAAATGCTTATAAACATGTGTGACAGATGAAAAAAAATGTTTTATTGATGAGCAAAAAACCACAAAAACCAGACCCTTTTTCTGCACAGCCAGCACAAGCTGGCACGACCCAAACCCCGCAAATGCGCACTTGACGCACGTTGCATAACCGACCTTTTCTTCTTGGGACACGCTTGACGCCACCTATGGCAAAAAAAAAAAAAAAGACTGCTGCGAAGAGAGTTGAGTCATGCTGGAGCTCAGTCGCCATTTTCGCGGCAGCTAGCCGGGGATCCGCTGCGGCTCCGTGATCGTGACTCGCGCCTGGGGGACTGCGACCGACTCTTGCCACTTGCGGGACCGGCAGAGTTCGACCGTGACCGATCACGAGATCGGCTACGGGACGAGCTCTTTCTCTCGTCCTTCTTGGCAACTTTCCCATTCTCCTCTCCCTTGCCAGGTGAAGCAGAGCGGGATTTCCCGCGGCTACCGCTGCGACTACGACTTGACTTCTTCGGTGACTCTTCCTTCGACTTCTTGCGACTCCGCGAACGGCTCTCACGCTCCTTGACAGGCGACCTGGAGCGGCTTCGTGAATACCCCTTGTTGTTAGTGGGGGACTTGGAACGCGACGCGCTCCTCGACTTCCGGCCACCTCTGCCACTGCCGGGAGACTTTGATCGACTTCGGCTCAACGACTTATTGTCTGCCTTGCCCTCGGACCGGCTACGGCTGCGAGACTTCCGTTCATTACTAGCAGATCGCGACCGGCTACGGCTGGACGGCTTGCTGCGCTTCTTGCTTGGCGAGCCACTTCGGCTGCGGCTGGCGGCCTTCTCGTCCTCGCTCCTCTTGCTGGCTGCGGAGTGGCTGCGGCTGCGGCTCGGCTGCTTACGGTCCTTGCTGCCCGAACGGCTGCGACGCTTGGGCGACCGGGAGCGGCTGCGAGACTTGCGGCGTGTTGCGGGCGACTTGGAGCGGGACTCGCTGGAGCGGCGCCTGCGCGAAGCACTCCTGGAGCGCCGTTTGACAGAGCGAGAGCGGCTACGCGAAGCACTGCGTGAGCGGCGCCGTTTTTGTGGGCTACGGCTCTTGCGGCGCCTGGAGCCGGAGCGCGATCGACGGTTGCGCCGCGGTGAGCGACTTTTGGAACGTCTACGGCTTCGACTGCGGCTCCTTGAAAAGCTGAAACGAAATGTAAACAAACCAATGGGGTCGGTTAATTTAAACTTGGCTGTTCTTCAATATACATAGACGTCTACCACCCACATTACATGGGCACTTTTCAGTGCCGAGCTGAGAGGCCAACAGTGAACTGCGATTGCAGTTAAAAAGCACATTTAAATATACACATTTAAATAGCACATTAAATATACACATTTAAATAGCACATTTAAATTGCAGTTAAATACCGCATACTAAATATTCTGAAATATTTCTGAAAATACTCTGAAGAAACGACTAAATACTCCTGAAATCACCAGCTTAGAAAAGCAATTTCAGCACGATACGAGTGCCAGTTTTACCTTCTTATTGGCTTTTCCTCAACGACTCTGATCCGCCGACCGTTGATCTCGGTGTTGTCCAGTTTCTCAATTGCTCGCTTCATGTCGGAGTAGGAAGCGAACTCCACAACACTGTGGAAAACAACCACATGTCAGTGTGGGAAACCTTTACATATTTGCATATACATACAGCGATGTTTCTTGTGACAAAACCCTAATTTTGAGGCCTGCAATAGTGGAAAGACTAGATCAACTTTGACCGCCTAGAGCTTTTGAATGACGTAACTCATGGGTTTGAACTAGTTGGTACTCAATACTTCACTACTATGTCAGTCTTCTTGGCCTACTTCTTGTCTTCTTGGTCTACTTGACCTACCCTTGCACATAATTGCAGTCAAAGTCATTAACTTTGCCAAAATTTAAATAGATGTTGGCGTAGTTGGTAAAAGAAGCCCAAACTGAGGGGTGCAGATAAGAAGGCAGGATAAGTGCTGAAGGAGACGGAGTTGCTCATCTTGTCCCCACTTCGTGTATGACTTGCCCCACTGTCAAGCTACGTATGCGATTGTTTTTTGTGTTACGTCTCCATCTCAATGTGGTACCTGTTGCTGATTATTAAACCTACCCAAACAGTTCGATAGCTGCGTAACTACAGTCACTCTCAATATTCAGAACTCACAGGAAAGACTCCTTCGGTACTTAAAAAAAATTATTATGATTAAATTAAAAAGTGACAACTAAAATGTGATTATGTGACATCAGGCTGTGCCCTCAATGCTGGGAATACAGTGCCAAGTAAGACAAACTATGTTGCCAGTGTGACACCATCACTCAAGTAGCTTCATCATCATCATAATGATCAGCCTGACTCACTGCGGGACAAGGGCCTCTCCCACAATAAATCTAAACCTATGCTTGCTGTGGCCACATCATCTCCACAAACTTTTTAATTCAACTGCCCACCTAAAAATCTGCCGCCTCCTTACGCACTCGTCTCCTTTATTTCAAATACCATGCCAGCATTATTCCTCTGCTCTTTGACAGGTTTTGCCAACATTCACACGCTGCTGCAACAAGCTATTTTCAATAACACCAGCTTCGTGCACGATCGAGACTGCACATGCCGAATTCACAACCATATGCAACAAGTAACCTCCACAATGTGGCCATAGTGCGCGTCACGCAAAACACAAAATGTGAACAGTTTTTACTAACCCTTCGTTGCGCCTGTGTCTGTGTGCATCAGCATAGGTTACATCGCCCACCTGCCGCATGCGATCCTTCAGGTCCTGGTGGGGCAAAGAGAAATCCGCACCACAAGGCCCGAGCGAGGGCGAGCATGCTCGTATTTAGACAAGGAAACCCGCAACAACCGTGGCATCGGCCGACACATCACACACTTGGAACGGCACACAGAGAGAAGTTCAGAAGTGGACACGACATCACATGCTCAAGGATGCAAGCACAAATACTTCCACATGCACCTTGCCAGCTGGATTTCTGTGCCATATAAAGCTCTTGCTGGAAAAGTTCGAGCCTAGACTAGTCCACTTTTGTTCATGGTATTGTTGTATTTTTCCTTCGTGTATAAACAAACTTTTTACTGTTTATTTTCCCGCATGTTATCATACTCCTTATTTTTAATTCTTCACTTCGTATAGCATCCTCGGTATGTATCGCATGAAAGCCTACAAAAGGATAACTAGCATTTTGAATTAAATATGCCAAATATCCACTTGAGAAAAATTGAACTCAAAGTGTGGAATGCACTAGTATGAGAGCTGCACATTCTGGGTGTATGTTATCACTCTGCTCCCGCAAGGAAAGGTACACCCAAGTGTAAAATGCAAGGGGGCACAAAACACACCTTTTTTCAGTTGTATATACCACTTCACTCCGATCAGGAAAATTACAACCAACAAGTAGGTGTACATAAGAGTACACCCTTGAACGCATTGAGGAAGGAAAAACTGAGGAAAAGCCCTATCGCATCCCAATGCACTGCGAGAAGTTTGGCGGAAGTCACGTCAAATTTATGGGGCTAACAAAACAGCAAACGCTCTGCGGCGTGCTCTCCGCTCTGGTTCGCTTAGCGCGGACTCATAGTCCCAGCGTAAACGTGACGCGTATTGTACAGTTCGCGTGCAGTAAAATGTTGGGAGCACACCTTTTCCAGAACCGCACAGAAAGCACCGGTAGGTGTCGTAATTAAAAGCATTCAGCCCCTGCACCATAGTATTCGACTCACCTGACAGCGACTTACGCGTTATGCTCGCCGGAAGGCCCTTTTTTTCTCTTTACTAGATTTCCCGATCGACGGGCTGATTAGCACTTCTGTGCTCATATAGTGTCAGTGTGGCAATGCTTGATTTTGAGAGCTTGCTTCGTAGCTGTTCGGCGCAACGCCAGCCTAGTACTTCACGTCAGTTAAGAAGGCACCACTACATTGAATACGTAATCGTGCACGTAAAGCGAGCAATTCCAGTGCGCACACAACACGCAGCGAGTGGACACCGTATATTACATAGACATTTAGTTTGATAACAAGAAAAGTTTATTGTCCTTCCGTATCAACGACAAAACTTTAAAAAACGCGACACTATGCCTATAACACTAAAACGAAAGTTCGTGTGTATTCTCATTTGACACAATGAGTAAGAACCAACGGAGCATACAACTGAAAGTTCCGCATGCAAACGCCGTGCATTATTGATCAACAGTGAAGCTAACATACGTGAGAATTGCCACCAGATACATTCGGCGGTGTAAGCGATTCACACCGAGTATACACTACAGCTGGGCATCGCACAGCTTTCCCAAAGAAACATGCAAAAGAAGCAGCACTATTGAACTGGTTCGCTGCCGGCAGAGAACACCTACCGCTCCGCCGGCGCAGCTTCTAAGGCCACTGCGGCGGCTGCTCGCCGGAAATCGCTAGGTGTTTATCTGCTTCTCCGCTAGGAAGTAGTGCGGGTGTTTGTGATGCGGCAGCTTTACAAGTATGATGTTTTTCCTTCCTCCATGCTAGTAGGTGTACATTACCATTTTGCACCCATAGTTTTTACTACTACAGCAGCATGTGCTGATGCATTTGGTGAATCAGATGCAAACTGTATTTTCTTGATTAGCTACGCTCTGTAGAAAAAAAAAACAGTCAAAAACAGAAAAAAAAAACAGTCATTTGGAAAAAATGTGATCTATGTCTCCCACCAGCTGAAATAAACTTGATTTAATCTAGCAAGAAAAAAAAATTGAATCCAAAAGGAGCTCCGAAGGGGTGATAAAGTAGATATAGCTTCAAAGCAGTTTTAGCAGGTAAGGGGGAGGGCAAAAAACCAGAAGCACCATTAATTACACCATGCGAATTAGCAAAATAAACTTTTTTAGTCACTCAAGAAGCCACCATCATTGTTAACACTTATGTAGCACTCGATACCCAACTGGCAAGGGCTCAAGGAGATTAAAAAAAAAAAAAAATCGTGAAGGCTTTTGGAAAGCAGGCAACGCAACTACTGAAGAGAAAGCATGGGCTTAGCAATGTTGAGCACGAAATAAAAATGGGATGGAAAAAAAAAAAAGAAAAAGCCAAGCAACATAATAGTTAAGAAGCAATAAAATATCTTGGACATGCTCAAGAAGGAGAACAAGCTTTGCCCGCACGAACAGTAGTAGCCAATGCCAATCTATAATCGATATGAGCACTCAGGTGTGCCAAAACATTTTTTTTTCTTTTTTGCAGATGCTGTCCTTGTGGGCAGTGGGCTCTCCAGAAGGGAGAGCTAAGCAACTTGAAGGTAAACAAGAAAACATTCTTGACAAGAGAACAATGTAGAACAGCTGGTCAGCAAAACTCAAACTCAGTGCCTTGCAGTAAATAAAATTGATGGTGATGTCAGCTGACTTGTGAAAAAAAAAAAAAAAGTTTCCTCATTTACTTTTATGTCTCTGGTGTACGAAACAAGGTCAGATTCCACCTAATATGGAATCGCCCTTTTTGTCTGACATTGATCCACACTTAAATGTCCGCATCAGGGGAACGTGATGGGCGAGCCTTCCCCTCGACGAAGCATTCAAGTCGAACTGTTTCAGTCTGCAGTCGGCCGACACCACCTCTCAACTTTTGCGGCATGGCACAGAGTTGGTAAGACATTACAACTACGCATGCATTTCGTCACTTGGAAACATCTTTCTTGAGGAAGCTGCAAGAATTTCGCAGCTGCAATCTCGCGCTGCAATGTGCGCTACAGTGGTGCAAGTGGCATTTAAGAGCAATTACTCAGCCTCTTCTGCCCCTGTCTTTTAGGAGCGCTTCGACCAAATTTCCTAGTACTTTGCCCTGCCCCAAGTGATACTGCATGCTACAGACCCATCGTAGAGCAGTGCCCGAGAGATTGCAGCCGCACAGGGATGAAAGAAAGGCGCAGAAGACAAGTGACACACACGGCATAGGCAAACGGGAGAAAAGGCAAAGAGGACGTCACCAGGTTGGCACAGTCCGGGCAGAGGCAGGAGGAGAGGAACGAGGCGAAGCGGTAGTCGCAGGGTGAAAGAGGAACGGGACAACGGCTCAGCACGAGGACAGCAATAAAAATGAGAGGTGCAAGGAGGAGAGGCGGGAAGGAGAGTCAAGGCCAGCACCATTCTCCTCTCCAGCCATCAGTCATCAGAACAGGAGTAGGAGTAGGAAGGGTGGTTCAGTCACAGTGTCATCTTGCCGGCACACCACTCACGGGTGCAGCCGCACCAAAAACTCCCTTTTTGCAGTTGAAAAAAGTGGGACCCCGCCGACGGCGGGGGCCGGAGACCAACGGGGTCATGAGTATTTACCTTGGCCAGCGCCCCAAGCGTGCTGGCAGGAAACCCCCGAGCGCACAGTCCGAGAACAACCCTGAAGGAGGGCGCGTGGGGAAGAAGGTGGTGCAGTGCTGCCGAACAGCCCACCACGGCAATGGGGGGAAGGAGGAGGACAAGAGCTCCGTGTACACCATGGAGGACGGACCCCCGAGAGACCAAGAACATCGTGGGGCCGCTCTCTTTTACCTCGACCCTCGACCCGAGACCATCGACCGACCGACGGCTCGCACACTCTACAAGCAAACAGCACCGGACGTGGCCCCCAGACCCCGAGGTCAAAAAAATGGCAGTACAGCCACCAACCTCTTGTCTTTGCGCCGTACGAGTGCAGGTACGGCACTCGCTGCTACACCAGTAGCTTTCCTTTCAAAGTTGCCTAACATAACCAGTAGTGGCCAAGAGAGCTGGTTAACACTAATATTGAGCCCTTCGGGCTTGACTATAGTCTGGTACAACTTTAGCAGTCTCAAGAGCCCTCACTTGGACGACTGAAGAGTGTAAGAGAATCATTTCCATGACTTTAGAAACAGTCCTGCTCAAGCACTTTCCAATCATTTTGGAAGGGCATCACATTCCATTGCGACACACTTGGGTGCATCGGCATTTGAGGAGGAATGCTCCAGACTTCTAAAGTGGCACCGGACCATAAGAGACGCACCTTCAAATGATAACACTGGAGCTAGGAGAGAAAAGCACACACACAGTGGCTGCATTCTCACTGAGATCACATTTCGGGATGTTACTTTAACTGTGCACCGATAGGCCTGGCCTCTGTTTGCTGGTCCAGTGATTGATTGATTTGTGGGGTTTAACGTCCCAAAACCACCATATGATTATGGTGGTTTTGGGAAATTTTGACCACCTGGGGTTCTTTAACGTGCACCCAAATCTGAGCACACAGGCCTACAACATTTCCGCCTCCTATCGAAAATGCAGCCGCCGCAAGCCGGGATTTGAACCCGCGACCTGCGGGTCAGCAGCCGAGTACCTTAGCCACTAGACCACCGCGGCGGGGCTGCTGGTCCAGTGAGGCATCATGCTAAATGGTACACAGCGTGTAAGTTCACCCGTAAGGCGATCACTTGAGAACACTGAGAACAGTTTTCTGTCTGGTAGCTTTTCCACTCAGGCAGCAGGGTTTTCATATACACACCACAACCTTCCAGGTGTAGCCCCCCACACCACCCTAAATTTCTTAGGAAATGCCTGAATACAGGTTAATGTACAGTTGACTCTTAACAAACGGAAATTTTTTAAACAAAACTGCTACTTAAATGGAACGAGCGCATCTGACAAGACTATTTTCGTACTTGTATTCTGCACCTTTGTTTATCTCTCAAAATGTTAATAAAATGGAAGACATTTTCCTGGTCCCTTCAGGTTCCATCTAGTAAGAGTCTACTGCACACCTCTGTAGCCCCTAACCCACGATCTATTTGGCATGGCTTAGGCCTTAGGTATTTACGGCCCTGAACACCGCCTAAGATCGCACTCACAGCTATGATCATATCTAGTTCCTGACCTCACACTAACTTTTAGGATACAATGGGTTGGCTGGCATTCAAACTCGTGGCAAGGTCTCCCAGTTAAGCAACAGACTAAAAATGGAACACATTCCAGCACTGCTGTAACGCCAGTTGAAACTCCTGCACTTAATCATAAATTTCAAGCAGATTCAAGGTGGTTGTCTAACAGAAAAAAAAAAGAGCCCTACATTTAGCTTAAGGTAGGGAATGTTGTATGTGGTAGTCTTGCTGGTGTTTCCAATGACACCTGTCGTTAAATTACAGAAAACAATAATAAAGTTATCGGGGTTTCTCAAACTACACTAGAATTTCGAGCTAGACAAGAGTCAAGCTGAAGTCATTGCAGCCTGCAAATTCGACCAACCAAATATGCCCAATAATGCTAATGTAACTTACACTAAACTGCTATAAAAAGACATCATAATGAGAATGCGATCTTACAATTACCCACTTGAAGAGTTTAGCACAACCGATGTCTAGGTACACAGATTGAAAACAAGGAACCTTTGTGTTGCCCTTTTACCAAATGATTTCTTTGCTGATAACTTCGAAGTTTCACTTAGGACACGCCTAGATAAAGCACAGTCTTTGATGAGAGGCCAAACGACAAACCACTCCTCAAAACAGCAATTTACCATCACATCAATAAAGTAAATGGAACATGTGAAAATGCATGGTGTGCTTGATACTTTACCTGCCAGCTGATGCGGCTGCTCAGGTTTTCGATGATTACTCGGTAGTCTGTCCGTGTGGGTGGCCCATACCTGTTGGTGCCGCTACTGGACACCCAAGAGACAACAGAGGCAGTCTTCGTTTTAAGCACAGCCCCACGAACTTTGCTCGTTTGCACTTAGGAGTGACACCCTTTCCGTGCAGGCAATGGCACCGGGGACATGTCCGCGACCACCAGATCGGCTAAGACGGGTGGACGGACTTTCGACACCAATAGCACGTTTGACCTTTCGCGGCATCATTTGCCTAGCCTTTCTGATTTTCGGGGCACGAGTTGCTGCAAATCACAAGTGCCGTAAGGCAAAAACAAGGAATTCGTAACACGTCTGATGAGCTATTTTCATGCACGATTGACTTGGTTGGGGGGAACACCAACTTAATGTATATTACACTTCAGATTTAAGCCACGGACTCCCGCGCTTTTCAGTGCCCAAGTTGCTCCACCTCATACGGGAGCTTGCACTCCACTGCAATGGCAGCACATCTATAAGCTCCACACATTAAGTTAGAGCATAGGCAACTTAGAACAGCCCTTTAGCATGTCATACTCTTAAGTACAAGTTTCATGGCTTCAGCACTGAAAAAAAAAAGAAAAAAAGCGTAAGAAATTCTGCTGCTGGCGCCGCAGGCAAGAATGAGATCAAGGGCCGCTTCGGCAAGCAAAAGAAAGCCCGCCGCTGCCAGTGTCGTCATCTTGAGAAAAGTCGAGGCACGTGGCTAAGGTAGACGACTGCACACAGTCTACGCATGCACTCCATGCTCCACAACTCACTTGTCGGTCCACGCGCTTCGTGGCGGAGGGGGCCGGCGGGCAGTTCCGTGCGCCAGCTCGACCACCACCCTGCACAAAAGGTTACGAAGGAGCGATTACGCTAAGGCCTGCCATCCTCAGATTTTTGAAAGAACACAGGTTCAACCTTAGCCTTAAAGGGATACCAAACAAAAACTCTGATGTCATTCATTTCATCACCATAGGTTATTAGAGACAATCAAGGTCAAATTTCTGCTGTGAAGTTCTGGAGCGAAATATCCAAAGTAAGATGTCATGGATGTAACTTTTTTTCATATTTCGATAACAATGGCTCAATGAAATTTTCCGAAACTCTGGCATCTCAACTCTTGCAGGCCCTGAGAGGACACCGCACACAACACGCTACTATGTAGTGCCTAGTAGACACCATTAAAATCTGTGACATCGCAGCGTTTGGCGGTTTCAAGGTGGCCAAACCACCTGCGTTTTCGTGCATTCACCTGGCTTACGAAACATCTGCTCGCAGCAAGCACGGCGATTCTCATATTGTTGTGCAAAGACAATTTCCCGGCACATAAAAATTGCGTTTCTGTTCAGTATCTTTTTTGGTGGCCAAGTACTGCAATATCGTAGATTTGCGCTATTGATTGATATGTGGGGTCTAGCGTCCCGAAACCACCATATGATTATAAGAGACGTCGTAGTGGAGGGCTCCAGAAATTTCGACCACCTGGGGTTCTTTAACGTGCACCCAAATCTGAGCACACGGGCCTACAACATTTCCGCCTCCATCGAAAATGCAGCCGCCGTAGCCGGGATTCGATCCCGCGACCTCCAGGTAAGCGACCGAGTACCTTAGCCACTAGACCACTGCGGCGGGGCGAATACTTTGGCTATAAAAATTAGTGAACGCACACTACGCAGATGGCACTATCTTGAAAGACAGGTCCAGGAGGATGTCGAGAATAGCCCTTTTTTTATAGAAAAACCAGGGCTTGTTCAATTATTTCTCTCCCCCCCCCCCCCCCCTCCACAGAGTGTGCCTAGCAGCTAAGCTGAAATCATCACCACTTCTGACTGTTTTACTGAATTTGGAGAGCCTTTTTCCGCACTCAAGATGACACAAGCAGGAATGCCAGTAGCAGGTTGCTTCATCGAAAGCATTTGCACTCCTTAAATGGTTTCCATACTCTGCTCCATACGTTACGTGAAACACTTTGGAAGCTATGCTTATGCAAAAAATTTCAGTCGGAAAAACGTGCGAGTCCATGTGGTTATTGTATCTCTTTGTTGTAAACGTGGCCTTCGCGACTGGCTCCACCTGCAAGCTACCTCGACTAATCTCAGACTCACACAAATGCTACGCGATCCAGAACCTTCTAAAAACCTTCTAAACAATTTTCCAGGTAAAAAGCATCTTCATTTCTCACCCAGTCAAAGATTAAGAAAAAGGAAATCGCATTGCTAGTGGTAAACTAATTGAATCTCACATGTACGGCAAGAGGTCTCGTTAGCTACCTTACCATTGTATCTGGTGTACGCAATTGAGTACAGGGAAAACTGTACCTGCAACAAGACTAAATTACTAAATGAACGATAGCATCATTTAAAGAGGCCCTGAAACACTTTTTCAAGTAACCATGGAATGAATTTACTGGAAGAGCTTTTTGCCTTACGAATTCAACGCCGCGAAAATTTTATGAATCTAACCAGTACGAGCGGAATCGCAAAGATTCGTCGCACGCTGCAATCGCATTCTCGCTTCGCTCGTCCCGACGAAATCGCAGGAACCTAAGCAGGGAGGGGTGGCAGGGGCAAAGAAAATATGATACGTGCACCGCGTGACCTTGAGCACGGTTTTTTTTCTCTTTGAACACGAGACTTTCTTTAGCATAATCGCGTGGACAAGTCACGGCCTCCCGTGGAGACCTCTGTGACAACCGAGCGTGCCATGTTCAAATCAGCCAATGGCTGATAGATGGGCTTACTACAAGTGATTTTCGAGCTTATTCTGTGATTGGTCGAGAGAAGTGAGAGCTATTTTTAGCAGACTGATAATTTATTGTGAATTCCAGGCCGCGTGCTGCGCTATAATATTTGGCTCGCGTGTTTTCGGCAGCCTCTACTACCAATCAGCAGCATTTTCTGACCATGCCCAAAAAGTGCTGCAGGGCCCCTTTAACGTCTTATAATAACGTCAGTTGTGTTACGCTCTTTGTCTTGACCTTCTTGGAAACACACCTGCTTAGATCAACTGCCGGCTAAACAATGACAAGTGCACCTTTCTACAGCAGTTGACTTCCATATAATCAAATCCTAACTATTTTTCCCTAAAAACTGGGCGATCTACTAAGGGTTGCATCGGACTTTAAGAACAATAGCCCATTCACGATGATCTAGTGGTCACAATATTAGACGGCCAACTGGAAGGTCGCGGAATCGAATCCTGGCCATTGCATTGTCAATGGAGCTGACAACGAGACCCGTGTACTTATTGAGTGCATGCTGAAGAACCCCATGTGGTCGAAGTTCCGGAACCCTCCACTATAGTGTCTCTCCTAATCATATTGTGGGTTTGGCATGCTGAACCCCAGATATTATGTCAGGACAATAGTAAACTTTAGAACAAAGTACACAAACACAGCGATCAGTACATATGATAATTTGGTCAGATAACGAGGGCACCCCAAAGGATAGCGTATGATGCAACAAAGTGACCCGTTCTAAAAAAAAAAAAAGTGCTCAACTTTTTGGCGACTGAAGAAAAAAAAATCTCGCCAGAATGACAGGGCTTTTTTTTTTTTTTCTGAATAAAATGACATCATTATGTGACAATGAAATAATGTACATTTTTCCAATTGCATAATATGATACTGAATGTTCAGTATTAAAGGCAGCAATCCTATGAAATGCGAGACATGGGAGGAGGAATCGGTACTACTGAAAAAAAAAAAACCAAAAAAAAAACACGGATGACCGGTTCCATGTGGTGTTACAAAAAAACACAGCAGATGCAGTCATTGGTTTCACGTGCGATTATTTTTTATTGACGTCGGGTACAGGCATCACTGGTCGTTTTAGTTGTAAATATCATAACACGCAATATATCATAAATATCATAGTGACAATATCATAACACGCAATATCCCTGCCACGTATGGGCAAAAACTGAGCAGCAGTATGCACGATATCAAGATATTTTTCGATTATGCACGTGAATGTCATTTGTGGCCCTGTAGGGTAAAGCGCTGGCTGCACGAGATTACAGAAGAGCAGAACCGACAAAAAACTAAAAGGCAGTCCTAGCACAACTTGTACGCACCGATAGAGGAAGACCATGGAGGAAGCGTTCCGACCCACTGATCAAACCTTTTTTTTTATTTATTTATTTCGCGCCTCGATACTTACCGTTCGCCATCCAACTCTCGGCCGTTCAGCTCGTACACGGCGTCATCGGCGTCGCGGTAGTCATCAAACTCCTGCAAAACCAATTGATAGTATTAGCACAGTCTGAGAAAATCGAAGGGAACGGCGCCAGCAACCTGCAGTTTCGCACCGTGTTCGACCAACGATCTCGGCCTACGCCGCGTTCGAAAGAAGACGACGACGACGAAAAGCCCAGTAACTCACCACAAATCCGAATCCATTTTTAAGCAGGACTTCACGGATCTTTCCAAAACCACGGAAGAACCTCTCCAAGTCGCGTTCCCGGACGCGATAGCTGAGGTGGCCAACGTAGACCCTGGTCATGATTTATCGGGTTGCTTCGCCGTGGAACCTGCGTTCGAAGAAAAAATAAATAAAAAACGTAGCAACATCGGAGCGCTCGGTCGGTGTTTCGCGAACATGGAGGAACGTACGAAAGTAAATCGAGACCAGTCGCACGCAGGAAACACCTCGAAACTTGTTTCGCCAGCAATTAAGAACGACGTGCTCAAACGTTCGATTAGAGCGGTGTTACTGCGCAGCGCTAGGATTGAGAGCCAATTAAATTACCGGGAGACGATGCCACGGGTGGGATTAGAATGCGGTGATAGGAGGAACGCCAAGGATGTCTTTCGGAGCTTTCGGTTGGGGCGAGAGGTGGCCAAGTGGACGCTTTTCTCGGACGCTCTAAGATGGCAAAGCCCTTATCGCCATATTGTAATCCGCAACAACACGCGCACTGCGCTCTGTCTCGCGAGTCGCGCAGTGCGCGTGCGAATGTGTATTACTAAATCCTCTTCAATCGTGCATGAATCAACTACAGCTTAATCAAAAAAACAAAGGAATATTTATTGTAGTTCATTCTGATTACCATGTTTGACATCTCGCGTAGAATTAAAAACTTCATTGAGAGTTTTGTTGTAGGTTTTGGCCAATCACAGGACGAGCAGCAACCGGGTGCAGAGCAACAACCAGCCAATCGCAGCGAAGCTTTGCGGCTGCATCGGCTTTTGAAAATGCGATCCGGCTGAGCTCCCGTGCACGCGCCCGGTGGTTTTTGTTCACGTGCAGCCCGCTGGTCGAGCCCGCAGCTTACTGGCAGTTTTCCTGCGGCCCCGTGTGTTCGTGTCTGCGGCAGCAACCGTCACTGCGACGTTCACTGCATTGAGCACGAGAGACACGCAACGAAAAAGTCGCCACAAGACGGTGAGCGCGCTGAACCGTCACGCCGGTTGGATTTTGGCGACGTGCTTTGTTGTGCGTTGAGGGAGGGTGGGTCCGTATTTACAGCTTGCTGTCGGGATTCGATCGTCGTTCCTTAGAACTTCGCTTTCCAGGCGAGCCCGTTACTCTCGTACCGCGACCGAAAACGGAGGTGATCAAAAACAGTCGCCGTTTCAATTGCCTTCTGAAACCAGTAGCCCTCGCAGCTTGGCGCATGATGCGGTATCAGCCCATCGTTACGCCACTACTACTGTTTGTGAGCTTTTTTTCTTTAGTTGTATTGTGCATCACCAGGTTCGGTCAGATACGCCGGTGAGCTTCTGTTTAGTATTGGTACCTCGCCTGTGTCACTGGTGGGCCAGTGTCGCATCGCGGTTCTCGCCGTTTGTCGGCGTCGTCAATTACCGAGCGATGGTCGACAGGCGGCTGACACTAACGTGGTGGTTTCCTAAAGGTGCGTTAACCACCGTGTCCAGCTACAGACGTGTGCCCTAGTGGCTAAGGTACTCGGCTGCTGACCTGCAGGTCGCGGGATCGAATCCCGGCTGTGGCGGCTGCATTTCCGATGCAGGTGGAAATGTTGTAGGCCCGTGTACTCAGATTTGGGTGCACGTTAAAGAACGCCAGGTGGTCGAAATTTCCGGAGTCCTCCACTACGGCGACTCTCATAATCATATGGTGGTTTTGGGACGTTAAACCCCACAAATCAATACAGACGTGTGCCGCGCCTAGCAAAACCTTTTCTTAAGTCTGTATCACGCAGAGTGAATATTGCGGGGAGAAGGGGAGGTGACACACCCTTCCCAAGGACGTCGTCTCTCGCGATCATACCGTGGCTTTGGGACGTTAAACCCCAGATAATATTAGAAGATCGGGGGGGGGGGGGGGGGGGGCGAGAGTGATCGGGAAATAGAGTAATTCGCAATTTCTGACGAAATCTATTCTCCGGGTAACTGGGCTTTACCCTTAATTTTGGTCTGTCCCGGTCTTAGCATTGCCCTTTAGTCCCAGTCCATCGGAACTGTATATAGCTGAAGTTAGTACTTGGAAACCTTGAATGGGAAATAACATATTGTTGTTTCTATTTGTCTATTCATTACCTTCAATTCATTGCTCCAGCTTTTGTGTTGTTTTTTTTAGCTTTAGGCCACTTGTGAAGTGTATATGGGAAAGAAGTGGAAATTTTAAGGGCTCGGGTTATATCTTGTTAGATGCAATATTAATGTGTATTAACAGACAGCACTGCCAAGGAAAGCATAGGGGATGCTATTAATAGTGAATGTGTAGACGGAAAAGTGGACTTCCTGTAGGCAGGGACGAAACCTGCGTTTAAATGTTCTACCATTGGAGCCAGCGCCGCGCCCATACCCCCATCCACTTTATATATGTGCACTTGCACGTAGAAGCCTTAGTCAGCGCTGTTAGTAGCCATGATGGCAAATGTGGAACACTTTCTTTCTGCCTCTTGGCGTGACATCGCCCCGCCGTGGTGATCTAGTAGCTAAGGTGTCGATCCTGCTGACCCGCAGGATCGAATTCTGGCTGCATTTTCGATGGAGGCGAAAAAGCTGTGTGCTCAGATTTGGGTGCACGTTGAAGAACCACAGGTTGTCGAAATTTCCCGAGCCCTCCACTCATGATCACATGGTACTTTTGGGACATTATACCCCACATATCAATCAAGAGTCGGCGATTTCCAGGCAACTAAATTTACCTGTACATTCCATGCGATGTGCTGCACTGTAATGTTTGGCTAACATGATTGACAGCGTTAGTTGGAGATGCACAACCAGCCGCTAAAATTCGTATTTAGCAACATGAAATGGCCTGAGCAGGTATTTTGCACAGCTTTTTGAGAGCACCAATAAGAATCGATAATGAAAATCTTATCCAAATCAATGAATATAAAGGAATTGCCCCAGTTACTTAAATGCATTAATTTTTTGGTGCTCTTTATGCGCGAGTGGTGCAGTATGTGCACTAGATTTGTCAAAAGTTCCCAGACCACAACCCCATGCATTCCCTCGGCAGCGTGGCGTGGGAGCGTTTGATGGACCTTGTACAATGTCCGATTGATATGTGGGGTTTAACATCCCAAAACCACCATATGATTATAAGAGACGCCGTAGTGGAGGGCTCCGGAAATGTTGACCACCTGGGGTTCTTTAAAGTGCACCCAAATCTGAGCACACGGGCCTACAACATTTTTGCCTCCATCGGAAATGCAGCCGCCGCAGCCGGGATTTGATCCCCCGACCTGCGGGTCAGCAGCAGAGTACAGTAGTCGCTAGACCACCGCGGTGGGGCCTTGTACAGTGTCTGTCTCATGCTCTGTTCATCAGTGTTTTAAACTGTGCTTGCCAACAAAAATGCAGCAGCAATGCCTAGCTGCAAGTGAAAAGACACCGCGATAAATGCCTTTTTTTTTCTCATATTAGTAAATTATTCTATTTCACTACTAAGATCACCGCGCTTGCTGTGAAAAGACGCACTTGGTAAGCCAGAAAATGCGGGTGGCCACGTCACCTTGGCTTGCCAAACACTGTGGTGTTGGTGTTGTCATAGATTTGGCAATATTCTAGGGCCTATATAACTTCCAATCGCTAAAGGTGGAGCACATTTGCCCTCTCAGGCTGCCAGTGACTTGGCATACCAATTTTCAGAATATTTCATTTATCCAATTTAAAACATAATTCGACATTCCCCACTATTTACATGTGTAGATTTCGTTACAAAATTTAAAATTAAGCTTTGGCTTTGCTTTCATCTTTGTTATTAACCTATCTATAATGGTAAAAATTTATGGTTCTCAGAGTACATTTGTTTCACTTTCATGTCTCTTTAATCCTGAGCTGACGAGCAGTTCGACACTGACGAAGTAACGCAAAATAAGAAATATGCATTTTGCTACATTTCTCTATTTCACTTGGGTTGCACATTAAAGCAAATCCTATTAAACCATAAACAGCCAACCTTTAAAATTTAATTTCAAGAACCTGAAATGGCTTGCATGTGTGTCATCGGGCACAGCTAATGCCGTTACCAATGAGGACATCTATAGAAAGTTTCGTTGCGGTCAGCAGACAGAAAAACTGCGGGAGTGTGAAGCTTTTGAAGTATGCCATTGAATGTGAGTAAAGACTGGGGTATACAACCAGTGTTCAATCAAATGAGGCCTCTTGGTAGAACAAGTGCTCATCCCGTCCTCTTGTTCATCAGTGTTCAGTTCATGCTGCTTTACCAGCAATCCCAGCGACAAGTATCGCTTGTTTTAACAAGCCGTGCCATCATCATTCTCTCTCCAGCAGCCATCGTTCAGTGGACCGGCACACCATGTCGACCAGTTCCTTCGCGGGCAGCGCAGCCTGACTTTCGTAGAACTGGCAAGGTGCTTTGTCTGTAGCTACCACTGAAGCGTCGACAATGGCACCGCTGCAGAACCGCAAGCGGCGTTCCACCGAGACAGCGTCGTCAGCACCGAAACGCCGCCGCTCTGGCAACAACCCGCCATCGCCCGGGGCACGCGTAAACGTGGCCGTGAGGGTGCGCCCACTCAGCGAGCGCGAGTCCGAGACGTCAAGCATCGTCCGCGTGGTGGACAACAGGTGCCTCGTCTTCGATCCCAAGGCCGAAGCCGAACCCTTCTACTTTCAAGGGCAGCGGGCGTGCGGGGGCCTCGTCAAGCCGAACAAGGACCAGACGTTCATGTTTGATCAGGTTAGAGAAAATGTAGCATCAACTCTCTGTGAACTCCTTCTGTGCCGTGGTTGCCCTGAACTGGTCGAGTTATTAAGCACACGTTCTATTAGTTAGGGAAATCCTCCTAATTTTTATTTAACAAGCTCCCTCTTGATAGCACAGTTAAATTCTTCCTCACAATAAAGTCTCGCCTACTTTTGGTGCCCAATGATTTGCACACTTCCATATGTTCGACCACAGCAAAACAGACACGAAAGTTCACAGCAGTGCAAGTTGAGAAATGGCAGAGTTATTAAGCAATGCTCCTACAAGCTTACTTTAGACACAATGGCATTGTTTGCAAAAAACCCAGCACTATACCCGGTGACAACTTTCTGTGGCAGCACGGCCAAGGCTACGTGGGCGGAGCCTATGCACATGTGCTACTGCGCCAAGTAGTCCGACCGCTTCGACGGGTGTTTCGGTTTGGATTTCACCAGTGCATACTTTATCCTTTGTGTGTCCCGCGTTGACCCAGGTTTCGTCAAGGTAGTATATGGGTCTGGAAGAATAAACAACAAAAATGAAGCATGTCATCTGCAGCGAAGCGCGGCGAATGCAGCGAAACTCGGCTCGTGTCACAATTATTAAAAATTGCTCGTGTTTCGGCTCGCGTTTACTCGCGTTTCGCTGCAGGTTTCGCTGCTCGCGTTTCGCTGCGTTTGCTCGCGTTTCGCTGCTTTTCCTTACTTGCGCGTAAACGTTGTACGCCACCTTCTCGGCCTGTACGACAACGCCTGGTACGGCTGCGCAGCTGTTGAACTCGCGGCACGCGGCGGTGTTTCCTCCGTAAGCGACGTTGACGAGCTGTAACCGGCGGACGCCATCTTTGACAGTGAGGAATGCGGTGAGGTAAAAAGACGACGGAAGCCAGAAAACCCCCAAAAAACCTGAGAGAGCGTGAAACAAAATTTTTTCTACTGCGCAACGTTTTTATTCACTAATTAAAAAATTAATCCGCGAAAAATGTAAGTGACGAATGGTAAAATCTTAGTTACCCAGAACAGTATACAAACGTTTTCGTTGAGGGACTACATGCTGTGGCGCAGTAAGACAAGCGTGCTTCGGCTCCGTAGCCTTGGCTGTGCTGCCACAGAAAGTTGTCACGGGGTATAACAAAAAATACGAGCTGGAAGATGTGCTGGTCACGTGCATTATTGGCTGCACCATTTTACAATAACTAATGCTCTTGCGATCATGGACTTGTTGGCGATCGGACATTTCTGATGAACAAATCTGTTCTTCTATTAAGGTCGCTTGTTATTTCACGTTACCATGTTTAATTGTTGCATTTCATCATTTCTCCTAAGATGTGTTGTTGCCTGCATCAGTGGAGGTGTTGCCCGGCTGTGCACGTGAGGAAATGTCTGATCCCTAGTGAGGAGCAAGAAATTCAATATGGAGCATTGTGCATTGCAATAGAATGAAAAATTGTTAGTCAGGCATGTGCACACACCAATCTCCACTTTCCCCTGATTTCTGCAATTGGAAAAAGACTCCAATTTTTTTATTTTTATAAACTCCTTTTGATTATTAAAAAAAAAGAATTAGAGTGCAAATTGGCAGCACATTCACGCATGCCCAGGCACCAAACACATACAGCGCTCACAGGCAGCTGTTTCTTCATAAAGAGTAAAACCTCATTAATTTGAAGTCAGTGGGGTTGTGAGAAATCTTCAAAATAGGGTTTTTTTATAATTTTCTTGGAACGTACAAAAAGTGGGATACAAGGAACTTGTAATTATTCGAAGTAATCTGGGCTGGTCGACCATTCGCTGTGCTGGCTACTTGGTCCCACTTTCGCCGCGAACACAGGGGAATTGCGGGTCTCGCTGCTGCCACCGGGGCGGGGGGACGCTGTCTTGATCAATTGAAATGCGCGCTTGCGGAAAACAAAACATTTTCACTGCAACACAGTAGCGACGTGCGGGCAGCATGCCATGATGCGACCTTTTGCCCATTCTTTCGGTTAAGATAAAGAATTTCATAGTGGCCTGTGTAAGGAAATTTGCGATGTGTCTTGGCTGAAACATTTGATGATTGATGCTTTCGAACTTAGTTCTCAATGTAGGCGTTGCAGGCAAGAACTCCGCTAGCTGTGCTGGAGCAACCGCAATCGGAGGGTCTCATAAGTTGCTAATTCCGCCAAACTGTCCTTTATTAGTTTCGCTATATCCCCAGAAAGAATGGGTAAGTCATGATGCGCTCACGTTGCGAGAAGCAAGGCTTGTTTCCTCAGGCGCACATTTTGGCTGACTGCGACACTGTATTTTTTTTTTTCTTTTTTTATGCTGTAAGTAGCGAGGCTTGGGTGCTTCAGCTGCCACTCATTTGCATCGCTACGGTGCATTTATTTGCGACTCTTGAGAGCCGTTTTTTTCGCGGGTTTGTGGCGACATTGGGATCGAGCATTAGCACATGGCACTCGAAGTTTTCGAATTAACTGGACTGCTGCTAGCCACTGCCTTAAATTATCCGCTCAGGCTAACATTGCAAAATACAAGACTGCGGAAATATTTCAAACTATGTGGCATATCGAAATAAGAGTGCTTAAATTGATAAGGCTTTAGTGTATAGTAAAGAATGAGCATCACTGAGTAAGTGCACATTCGTTATTTTTGTTTCCTGGTGAAATTCGTCTTAACGACTCTAGGCTGTAAGAAGAATGAAGGAAAAGAAATGCATATGTATGTCTTGATCATATGTGCTGTTGGCTTCTATGATTGTGTGTGCATCGCATGTGCGTATTCAAAGCATCGGTACAATAAATTAACAGTTGGAAGTGAGGCTGTAAGTGTTGGGTTCCTGGGTGTGTGTGAGTGTACCGAGTGATTGTGCTCTTTTTTTGAAAATGAGCAACTTTTGACAGCATTAGTGCAAATTTGCCGCATCTTGGCCTGCAAAGCCCCCCTCCCTTTGCAATTTGCCATCTGGCACCCCCCTTCCATCTAGAAAAGTTGCCTACCCCCAACTGTACGGTCTGATTTTCTGTGCAAAGCTATGCTCTGTGTGCCTTAGGTGGAACACTTTTATAAAGATGGCTCGCGGACAACATTACATTTTTGTGTTTTTCCCTGTACACTGTACTTGAAGCTGTCCATTGTCTTTCTCGTTGCAGGTATTCGATGAAGATAAGGACAATGAGTTTGTCTTTGAGCACACAACCAAGGAGATGCTCACGACGCTTCTTGATGGCTGCAACTGTTCCGGTAAGTGTCGACGACCGATCGGACCTATGACGGTGTCAGGGGGGGCATGGGACTCATATCGGACATCATTAATACGATTCCATTTTTCTCTGCCAAGCTGCTCCGGAGATGTTGAAAGTGCTAAAATTGTGTCACACTGCCCCCAAACAGCCTCAGAAGCAAAAGCTGTGGTGCCCACGTCAGCTGAAGCTTGTTTCCGCAGGCGCACATTTTGGCTGAAGCTGACGTGGGCACCGAAACTGCACCTAGCTACGCCAGTGAAGTATGTCTCTTCTATGCACCCTTCCAGTGAATGCTCTCGCGTTGCTGCGATAATGCCCCCTGGGTTATTGCAGATGTGCGACCTCCCCCAAATTCCACTGCTAGGCTGTGTCTTGAATGCGCAGTGTTATACAGGCCCGGAAATGAAGAAAAGCATCTAGGGATAGAGGCATGGCACATCGGTAACAGTGGTAGCACTTGTGTTAGTCGCACCATCGGTCAACTTTCACAAAGAAGAAATCAAATTTCCTAACAGTTGTCTTTTATGTAGAGACCGCACACGTGCTGGGTTAATAGGTTCGCTCACTTCCTGGGCATGGGCCGGTAAGTTTTTCGCTGACTTCTCTCTTTTCTACCATTGTGAGCATGCGCGTTGTTGGTCAGAGTTTGTGGTGTCAGTGACTTATTTCTTCATTCCGTGTCTGCAGCATCCAGTTTCTAAGAATGAAATACTGTATACTTCGTACTACTTGATGGTGCATGAGCATACCTGCCAAGCCTCCGAGATTCCCTGGAAGACCCCGGATTCGGACCAGTTGTCACGATTGTACAGTTTTTCGGCAAATCTCCTAAAGATCGAAATGCTGTCCTTGATCCAGCCTGATTGACAAAAATACAGCCCAATCTGATCCAGGCTTTTCGCAAGGCTATCGCATTTTATTGTAAACTAATTCAAGAGGCATTCATCTAAACCTATAGTAGTATCTCGGCGATGCGAAACGGGCAGATACGACTATGTTCATTGGGTCGAAATTCGAATGTTTCGAGCACTTTTCGTCATCGCGGCAGGTCGTTGAAACCGAAGCCGTCGAACTAATGTGGAGAGCAGCGTGCCCGAAGCTTCAGAGGGACACGCACGGCCTGCGAACGCACTGTCAAAACTGTGGCTATTGTTCGCCACAACTGCTTTAGACGAAACCGCAGCCGCTCTTGACACGATCTTGTGTGGCGACGCCGTAATTGACCGAACTTCGAAAGTGCATGCGCGTCCAACTCTCGACCAGTCAGGGCTACGTTGCTTTGCACCAACACTGTGGACAGAATCGCTGCAGATGCGATCATATTTAGGACAAAGTTACATGGTTTTAAAAACACATGCGCAGCCAGTGCACGCGGATTGAAAACGGAAATGCCATTTTCCATAACCACCGCGTGCGACACTGCGGTCGCGGTGGCACAATTACTAGCACCGCATGCGGCTAACACAGCAGTAGAGGTGACGACGTAAACATGCGAGAATCGTTTTGGCGTTCCTGTCCAAAGAATCTAGTAACGTTGCTCCTATCTACGTTCTTTGGCTATAATCTGGCATTCAGTTTTCAGTTAGCCCTAAGTGAAGCTTCGACCGCACTTTCCAGGCAGCCAGCCGCGCCGTCCCGTCCTTTCACGTGTGTGCCAGGAAGACATACGCCAGTTCTTTTGGCAGAAATAGATTATGCTAGTTTTGATGACTCGAAATTTCAAGAGATACAGGTCTTTTTTGACCCCCTTTGAGATTTGCTCCTTCTACTGCAGTTTGGGAACCCTAACCTTTGGTGTTTGGCCACTCCAAGCCATTTGAAGACAACACAACACTAATAATTGCTGACCCCCTGATAAATAAATAGGTTCACCCCCCCCCCCCCCTCCTCTTCGTTGCAGAAGTCTCTCGGATTGAGAATCCTTAACCTTGGCAGGTATGCATGAGTACAAGACTACCATAATGTTCAATTCATTTTATTTTTGCCATCAAAAACAAAACCTGATAGTAGAGGAGCCCAGGATAAAAACCCTCTCTCGATAGTTTGACAACGCTCTGGACACTGGTGAAAAATGATGCAATGTCGTGGTGAAAAATGACACAATTGGCCTGGCTGGTTTTCTAGCACATTGTGTCATTTATAGGTGGTCAGAGAAACAAAGCCAACTGTTTCGCACAAATTGTTCCACAGAAAGTGCGATTAAGCGAGGGATTCCGAAATTTGAACGTGGAAGGGGGACGGGGAACTGCCATTTTCGGCATCTTCAGTGTCTTCATCTGCGCCATCTTTGGTATACACTTTATCAAAGCAGTTTATATGGAGGCTCACTATGCCACTAAGTAAAGCTATATGTGTAGGCGATCAAGAAGGAACTCCAAATAGCGCAAGGACAGTGGCCACCGTTGTTCCTTTTGCCTTCCACCGCCCAGAGGAAGGAAAGAGGCACAAGGACAACGGTGGCCTCTTGCCTTTCCTCTGCCAAGTGCAACCGCCTTAACGGGGTTTGAAAGCTGTGTCCTTTTTCAGTTTTCACTTTCCTGGCATACAGCAGCTGCATTTGTAAGATTGAAAGCAAAAAAAAAGAGTACTTAAAAGCAGCTGTAAGGAAATTGGCGATGTCTGCAAACCTTAGATTCTTAGTTTGCTGAAGCGAATTACCAGCCATGGTGGTCTGGTGGTCACGGTTCTCGACTGCTGACCCGAAGGCTGCAAAGTTGAACCCCTGGCCATATTTCCCATGAAGGCGAAAATGTTAGAGGCCCATGTAGATTTAGGTGCATGCTAAAGAATGCCAAACGGTTGAAACTTTCGGAGCCATTTACTATGGCGTCCCCTATCATAATCATGTTGTGGTTTTGGGGATGTAAAAGCCCCACTATTACTGTCCTACAGCGAATCGTCGGCCGATTTGCCAGTGCTGCGCTTACTTATGAATAGTCCAATAAAAATCGTTACTGCTGGTCAAGGGTTTAACATCCGCGGTTGTTCTCAGTGTTTGCGTATGGCGCAACCGGTGCCGGCAAAACGTTCACAATGCTGGGCTCCGAGGAGTGTCCCGGTGTCGTCTCCCTGACTGCCAGCGAGCTGTACCGGCGCGTGGACAAGCTGCGCTCCGAGGGCCAGTCGTGCGACGTGGCGGTCGCCTACCTGGAAGTCTACAACGAGGTCGTGCGCGACCTACTGTGCCCCAATGGACCATCGCTGGTCGTGCGCGACGACCCGGCCAAGGGCATCGCCATTTCCAACCTTTCGATACACAAGGTCAGTCCATGTCCAGATACCTACTAGCCGACTCGGTACGTTTTGTTTCTTGTACTTGCCTGCACCATGAGGTATAATTGTCAGCTCTAGTATAATCGCTGATGTTCGAAAAAATCTCTAGCAGTCATTCAGAGCTCTCTGTGACTGTGCTGTAGCCCCAAGAGTCATTAGAAGCTTAAGCGAGTTTTTATTCATTGCACCTCTCCATCACAAGAACTCCACCTACTTCGACTTTCCCCGCTTTCAGACTTATCTGCTGCTTTGATTTTTCCGAATTTTAAGTTTCGCCACGTTAGCAGGTGTGCCTGCTGTTGCAATTGCAAAATTTATCTAGTTTTGTATGTTAAACATTTGTTGAGGATTGCTTTCATTTTGCGACATAGATGGGGGCATTCTGATATTGAACAATGCACAAGAGTTTAAAATTACCAAACTCTTGTGCATTGTTCCAAGCACAGCCTACTCTTAGAGATGTTGATCGAGAGGAAATCGCTAACATGACTGATAAAGTGGCTCTCGTGGACCGGTGCGTTTGCAAAGATGTAGGAGTCACCTGTTTGGTGAGAGACCTCTGCAGCAGTAAGTTGGAGGAAAAATGCGAGAGGACCATGCTCAGCACCTTAAATTTAAGTGCGTCAGCCACTGCTGACTATGTCGTGTTGTCAAAATGACTTTTCTGTCTCGAAGCTGTGTATGATGAGCCCTTGTTGGATAGTCTGGAAGCCGTCTGTATGATGATCAGCCCCTGTTCGGATAGTCTGGAAATCGCACTTGCTGCGTTGTCATTGAAGAAGTGACTGCTCTAGTGCTGATTGAGTTAGTGATTTATGATACAGTTGAAACTAGACTTAACCATGGGACGAGATCCGCAATTTAGATCCGCAACGACAAATTTTGTTCGAGAGGATTACAAATTTATTGCCTAGTGAAAAACGCCAGGCCTGCGCAGAAGGCGCAGAACAGTCACAGCGAAAGCTAGAAAAGCGGCCTTTCAGAGCCTTTTCTTAACACTCATCGTGTTACTGCTGCAACCACGCTTGCTTGATGCCCACTACGGCATTAATAATAAAAATTTTAAAGTAGTAGGCCGGCATACGCTTTGCTATTCTTCGTCGTTCTTCTGAGAAGTGTGGCATCCGCTAAACTATTGCGAGGAATTTTGTGCCAATTGTTCATGCAGTGGCTGACCACGATGAGGAATTAGTCATGTGCCACAGTTAATTGCTGATCAGAAAGAAGCGTTTGTGAGGGGTTGGAGCAGTTTGACAACCCACTCGTTACGCTATTCGCATTGTGCGACGGCTGCTTGTTCTTTCATTGTTTTTAAGGCTTTATAAGTCGTATTTACGCAATTGCTTTCCCAACATCAAGCCTGCACAAGGCAAGTTTGCCAACAAGTCCCAAGCACCAGTGTGGCTCAGTCGTAGAATACTGGGCTTGCACTCTGTGGACCTGGGTTCGAGCCCCACTGTTTCATTGGTACTATGTTGTTTTTTTTTTAATTTCGCGCGATGTGGTGGCGGCGGCGGCGGACCAAATCGCAACTCGGGCGCTGCGCGAGACCAGAGTTGCGATTTCATAATAGCTTTCGCTGTATGAAATTTCTGCTTGCGTGCACACTTCGCGAGAAGTGGGCCAGTGAAATCAAAGCATCTTCACGGAAGGTTCACAGCATCCATCGCCTGGCTTGGTGAGGGCACGATAGCTTCGACTGTATTCAAATCGTTCGTATCTTCCTACTCCTCTTGTGTGCCGGAAAGAAGCTGCACTATCTGTTCATCATTGAGAACTTTTGGTGTGTCAGTGTCTATGTCAGCGATCACGTCGACGAATTCGTTGAAATTCTGATGTGCGACGACTTCGTCATGCTACCGAAACTCTTCCCCATTATTGGGCAATGCCTCTTCCTTCTTGCGCTTCAGCGTGTTCTGTCGATCGCCAGCCAGATGGCTTGAGAGGCTTGCTTTAAAGGTTGTTGCCGCGCTCGTTGCAATGCACACATGCCTGCTGCATCTTCCAGCTACACTGTGCCTTAAGACTGGTGCACACCGGCGACTAGCAGCGGTCGCGCGACCATTTGCGACTGATCGCAAATAGTCGCGAACGGTCGCAAAGCGACTGCTTTGGCTAGTCTCTTCCTGACCGATTTTTCAGTCGCCCGACTGTGGTCGCAAAGCTGCTGAAACCAATCAGCGATGCTCAATTTTTGTCGTTTGTTTTTCTATTGGGCTGGTGAGAACAGATAAAAACAAGAAATGCAGCACCCTCCGTTTGCTCCACTCACTCATCTGGTTGATCAGCGCTGGTCTCCAGAGTTCTCACTGATAACGAGATCCGGACGTGACTCTCCGGTATTGCGACTTCCGGTTGCTCGCATGCAGCCCCTGCCGGTGTGAACATCAGTCGCTCTTTGGTCACCAGTCGCGAATGGTCGCGCGGCCACTGCTAGTCGCCGGTGTGCACCATCCTTTACAGGGCTGTTGTCGTCCGTGTGTGCGCGTCCAGTTTGTTGCATGATGCGAACGGTTTGTGCAACTCTTGTACTTTAATCATGACGTGGAAGTTGGATTGCATAAAGGACGCTCCGCTCGCTGCAGCGGCCACATTTGTGAAAAGAGTGCCATAACTACAAAGTAACCGTGACAGTTACAGTATTTCATAATCATCCTGTGTGTACCTACCTGCTTGTTATGTGTGTTATTAATGTTTGAGAAGCATGCTTTAACTGTCAAGCTGTGACAGTTGTGTATTTTAGCACTTGTGTGCTTTTATGCATAATTTGTGCTTGAAGAGCCTCTGGAAGTTTCGAGCGGTTTGCCGTTATTCACATTGCATTCCAGTTTGTGGCTATCTCATTCGCTGCTACTGTTGTGGAGAAACTGATGTTTACCTTCCTTTTTTTTGCAATTTGCTGTGCGCCGAGCATAGCAAATTTTAACATTTAATGTATTTTAACACTTTTAATGTGCACCCTGTGCTATTTAAATACGTACTGCTACTATTTGAAAGTTGTTTCCACTTTGCTTAGAACAAAAAAAATGACATTTGCACAGGTCCTGTTGGAATTCTCGAAACTATTCTTAATTTATTTTGACTATTCGATTGAAATTTATTTGACCGAATCAATATTGGCCTCAAATTTACTATTCGTCCATCCCTACTAGCTTTGCTTGAAGAAACGGGTAAAGTAGTTGTGACTGGAGTGCTAGTTGTAAATCGGGCAAGAAAGCTTACTGAGTGCATCGGCTGCAACATTTTTAGGCTTATGCAAATAGTGAATTTCCAGGTTCGAAGTGAATAGCGAGTTTGGTCAAATAATTTCGAATCGAATTCTAATACTATTTTATTTTATAAAAAAAATTGGCATATTTGTCATGACCTAACTAATCTGCACAATATTTTTTCAAAAAATGAAACAGGGCCTGTGCAATTCTTTTTTTTTTTTTGTTCAAAGAAAGTGGGAACGACTTTGCATACTAGCAAGAATTGACTTTTGGGAGGATGTGAGTGATGACCTGTAAAATATGTTGTTTTAAAATGCACCACACTTCAAGCATATGAGCCTGTATACCAACCTTTGAAACTTCAAAAAATGATCAATCGATGTGAGCTTAGTATGTTCATTTAACCTCGAAGTGGGGCCTCGCGGCAGTCTTATTTCCCCTGAGTAGGTGTTCTCACGGCTTGGCACTCTTTTGCTGCTGTGAAAGTACCTTTACAGGTGCTATATGCCGGCTAATATACACATCTATATTCGTTCATCTCGAATACTGCAAAATTTTCATTAATTTGAAGCGAATTCAAACACCGCAATACAGTGGACTCTCAGTAAATGGAAATCTGATAAATGGAACTGCCGCTTAAATGGAACAACTGGCTCTGATACGATTGGTTTCATGCCTTGGTTTCATGCCTTCATACTGCACCCCAGTTCACCTCTTGGTCAACGGAACTGCTGTTACACGGAACACATTTTCCCGGTCCCTTCAGGTTTCATTTAATGAGAGTCCACTGTGTTGGTTTGAATACCTGAGGCATTTTGAATATTTGCGCAAGGCTAAACATTTTACACTAACGAATACAGGTGAAGGAGTCGGGGGCACTGTTCGAGTTGCTCCTGAAAGGCAACAGGAACAGGACTCAGCACGCCACCGATGCTAACTCGGAGTCGTCACGGTCCCATGCAATCTTTCAGGTAAGGACAAAGATGCTGTTGCGTGTGTGTTAATGCTACGCAAGATATTTGTGCCCCTGCCAGAAGCAGACACCTCTTTGAGCGCAGTCGAATGGCGTTGTGGCAGTTCAAGTTGCTGAAGTCGATGTACCTCCTCACTGGATCCAGTGCAGTGACAGTTTAGAACAGATGAAAGAATGACTCGTAAAAGAAGATACTAATACTAGGTGTCTGTAGCATAGACTTTCATAATAGTACTTTGTGGGATATGTGGCACAAGTGTCAACGGTAGCCACAACGAATTGCACTTCGCACATGGGAATAATGATTTGTACGACATGGATTTTCCCGAGCTTCGTTCTTTCAGCTCTGTGCAGCCTGCAGTCAGTTCGTTGCAAGAGCAAGTTCAGCAGTCCCACTTCGCAGCCTTGGCCCCCTTTGGGCTCGCCAATCCAAAGCCACAACAGTGTTTGAAGCCGCAAGCAAGACTGCTAGGCAAATTTACGTAGTACCCATCATTTTTATAGTGGAAGTATGATCACAATGCCACGGGAGTTCCCTCTAGCAAGTACAGTGGACTCACAGTAAATGGAAATCTGTTGAACAGAACTGCTGCTTGAATGGAACAACTGCCTCTGATATGATTGGTTTCATCCCTGCATACTGCACCCCTATCCACCTCAAATGGAACTCCTGTTAAACGGAATGGATTTTCCCAGTTCCTTCAAGTTCCGTTTAATGAGAGTTCACTGTATTGCCATGGAGTATCCTACAATTAACTAGAGGAAACTCTGGCACTGCGATCGTTCAGTCACCGTGGGAATGACTGGTAGTACCAGATTTGCCTAGTCTTCAAGCTTGCGGGCATCGAGTGCACTTGTGGCTTTGTGTATAGTTCTTATGCTTTTGTGTCGAATAAAAGAATGGACCGTTGTGAACTTCGTGACCCTATTTGAATTGGCAAGCCTAAAGAGGTCAAGGTGATGAAGTGGGACTGCCGAACCTTTGCTGAACTTTGTCTTGCGGCAAAGTGAATTCAGGCCACAAGAGCCAAGAAGCCGAGAGAAAAAAGATATGAGAAATCAGTGTTCTACCCATTATTCTCATGAAGTGCCATGCTTTGCAGCTCTCATAGACACTAGCGCCAAAGTTCGCTGTGGTGTATTTGTAGCAAACTCCGAGTGTTGCAGCATATTGTGCAAGTAGGCTTCTACAGGGTATGAGGTACTTAAACCTCATTATATCAAAGTTTCATCTGACACAAAAATATGTTTTATATCCAAAATTTCTTTACAAACGTATATTCAGAATAGTGTATCCATTATACAAGATTGTTCTTCATTCACTTCGTTATAGCCACCATTTTGTTATATCGAGGTTTGAGTCTATTTGCAGTTGCTGTCAGTAATCTTGTTTCGTGGTCACTTCAATATTATGGTGTTTCTCGTCTTGTGCCTCCTTTCAGGTTTACGTCACGCAGACGGAGAACGTGACCAGCACGAGCAAGGGGATCCGCGTCTCCAAGATGAGCTTTGTCGATCTTGCCGGCTCGGAGCGTGCCGCTGCCGTGAATAAAAACGTCAAAGACCGGATACGCGAGGGCACCAAGATTAACCTGTCGCTGCTGGCCCTGGGCAACTGCATTGATGCCCTCTCCAAGGGTGGGGTGAGTCCATGTTTGTTGAACTCGCCGTGGTTTCCTCCCCTTTCGCTCGTTCGTGGGAGGGGTGTCGTCGCGACAGGCTTGATGCCCGCGAGAAATTCTGGTCGACTTCCAGGGAGTTGGGCATTTGGGTACTACGAGCCGGCAGCTGTAAAAAAAAGTTTAGCCAACTTCGCTGGTTGACATTGATAAAACAGCTAAGATAGTAGCGTGCAGTGGGGTTGAATGAAGTGGATTGAAATGGCAGTAAAACGGCAGCAGTGGCGGGAGATTCAGTGGGCGTAGTGGAGAGTTGTAGGAATGGTTAGAGGAGTGGCACATTATCGGTAGGGGGACTTACCCAATTTCTGCGAGTAAATCCCACTGCGATTTACGAGCTACGGTGGTTGCCAGACATATAAGGCTCCGCTAAGCACAGCTTCACAAGATGGGTTTTAAAGGGGCCCTGCGACACTTGGAACAGCCCTATTTAGCACCGGAACATGTGTTGCGATGATTACTGAGATGAATGCAACGAAAACGATGGACATTGGTGCACGGACAGTGAAAATATAAAACCTCTAAGTTTAAAACTCGAGCAGACGACAAGAAGAAACGTTATCTTTCGCGTTTCACTCGCCTGCTGACGTCAAAGACCTCTTCCAGTCACAGCGCACGTCTCGTAAAAACATTCCGGAAATGCGACCTCAAGGTGTCCTCCGCACATTACTTTGCTACCACTCTTTCTGACGGTGTTGTAAGCATGGGTAATACGAACCACGTGCATCGAGTAGAAGACGCTCCCACAATCACACTGTGCAAGATGCACACATACACTATAAACAGGGTCACTTCTCGGCTTGCGTGCAAGACTAGGTCTACGGCAACGCTAGCGCCCACTGCTCGTCACATTTTTGGCTCGTTAAAAACGCGACATGCCTTTCCACCTTTAGTGTCTTGCTGGCGTACTATAGCCTCGTTTGCAGTCTGTGTTGTGTTCGTTGTTCTGAAATACATAATTTAGAAACAAAGGATTTATTTCTGAGAAAGTATACAAAAGGTTTTTCTGTTTTTAGCATTCACTCGTATGACCTAGTTACCATCATATAAATATTGCGTGCTATTTGTCGCGTCGAGTGAATCAAAAGCGAATGGTGTTTGTTGTCACGTCACTTGACATTACGTCACGTCCCATAACAAAAATGGTCTATGTGTGTCACCGTAGTCTATAATCAAGGTAGCTTGTCTCTTGAAATATAATAAATCAATTAGTTAAAGTGGTTAACTAATAAATGCATCAATTTTGGCATTGTCATTTGCACAATGATATCGGCGCGGTGTCAAGTAGGTCCCGCCTTCCCTCGCAGGGCCCACGCGTTGCCGTCGCTCTCTCCCTAGCTTGTCACCGCTCGCCACATGTCACACCTGCAAAGCTGTTCCTCCCCTCCCACTCGCCTCGCAAGGCTGTCTGCTACTAAAAAACTGCTTGCTCTGCACAACTTTTCACTGGTCGCCCCGTATGTGTAGGGACTGGATCGCGTGTTTGTAATTCAGTCAAGGGTGTCTTCACTTAGTTTTCGCTTGATGAGCGCCATCGTCAACGTCGCCACTAGTGTAAGCGTTAGTGAACGTGATGGACCAAAGCATTGAAAGAGTAGTATTTTAATATTTGATGTATGTTACTGATGCCCAGTCGGCTGCCCAGTTTAGCTTGCTTATGCATGCACTGTTTATGCTCAGTTTACTATGCAATATGTTCGTGTGTTTGCTGTGAATGCCTGGGTGCAATAAATTTATTTCATTTTCAAATACTGCCAATCCCTCAGAGGGATTATTACAGGGGTAGGAGGAAATTTATTGCATGAATTAAAAGAAGTAATGCTAACAACAAAGTATGTGCTATATAAGAAATAAACATTTATACACATAAACAAAATTTTGCACTCTAAGTTTACACACAGTAAGTGATTTCATCAAGCAGACCACAGCAACAGCAAAAGAGAAAACAATAAACAGAGCGACATGTGTCCGTGTCAGACAGCTTCTTACCCTAGTTCAGGAAATAATTCTAGCGTAGGCTGAGTAACAATAAATTCATCTAAAACGTTCCAGTGTCTTACTGCTTGTGGGAAAAAAAAAAGAGGTGAAATACATTGTTAGCAGGACAAAATTTCTCTAACGTGAATCTGCGTTTGTGTCGCGTTTCTCTGGTAGAGCCATATAAAACAAATGACCTGAGGATAATCTTGTAACTATTGTGTTACAAAGAATGCAGGAATTTCAATCTATGCACTTTTGCTTGGTTACACAAAGTAGCGAGGCCAGCCAGCCGAAGAAGTTCTGTCGGGGAGTCGCTATGTCTGTAACGATTGAATATAAAGCGAATGTCTTTTCTTTGTACCCGTTCAAGCGCAATAATATTGTGCTTAGTGTGCGAAAGCCATGCAACTCTGGTGTCTTCCAATGTTGGTCAGATGAGATTGGTGTAGGCAAGAGAACATGTTTCAAAAGTAGATCCGGCAAGCGATCATTTGAGGAAGGTCAATTTATTAATTGCTTTTTCAGAAATTTACTGCACATGCACGTTCCAGCTTATGTCACTGCTTATCGTGACACATAGGTATCAGCACTGTGAAATGTTTCATAGTATGATACTGTGAGGAAAAGTAAGTGTCGATTTCTTGTTTGTAACGTTCATATAGACCGTCTTATCTGCATTTAACACCATTCGCCAGTCTGAGCACAGCTGAGCCACTTCGTACAGAGAGTTGCTTAGTTTTGTTCGGTCATCTTCAGTTTTAATTGCGTGGTACAGTGTGCAGTCGTCTGCAAATAGCCTATCGTTTACGTCGAGGTGCTGATGATCAATCATTGGGAATGCAAGTCGGTTATTCTCTATTTAGACTAAGTAGCACTCAATGCTGCAGCGTAAAATACGGCTAAAACCCAGTTAGCAGAGATCGCGAATGGCCCACACCGTATCCAAGGGCGTTTACAGTTCAGCCTTTGTATCACCCCGTTTTGTGCTAAGTGTTAGCGCCAGCACTCATGATATAGTTATCAAGCGAGACTGCGCTGTTTCAGAAATTTTCAGTTGTATGTTTGTTTCTTCTCTCTCTCTCCCTTTTTTTTTTTTCTTTAAAGTATGTCAAGCTGTGTTAAGACTAATGTATAGCTAGAATAGAACATGCTCAAAAACAATTAATGGTACGTATTTCTTGTGGCATTAGTTCAATGTACACTGTGCATCAAAAGTCTGGTGCAAGTGAAGTAATGAGTCTTTCTAAACTGACATAACTAAAGGTTAGGGCAGTTGTCTAAAGAAACCCTTCACAGAGAACCATTGACACCTGTTTTCGTTTCATCAAACCTTTTAGCAATTTATAACACTAGGTGTGCACATTGGCCTGCACCAATTAGCACACTCTAGACGGACATTGCAAGCTGTGTGGATGCAATCGGCAGCGGTGCTTCGGTCATCTCAACAGTGGCTTCTGCCGTTGTATCTTGCACCCAACTGTAGTGGCGATGCTGTCTTATCGGAACGGTGGCCTAGAGAACTGAAATGTATTCGACAGCGGCAAAAGGGTCTGATTAATAAATCGACCTCTTTTAGGAGCGAAGCTCTTCTTAGTCTAACCTTGTCATGCGTAACCGAGAGAAGAGATGAGAAAGAAAAAAAGGGCGATATCTCCCGAACAGTATAATAGACAACACTGTCTCATAGAAGTACATACAAACTGCAGTTGAGTGGGGATATCCTAGATGGCGCCGCATTGCTACTCTTTGATTGGCTGCTGCGCGGGCTGTGCCTGGGTAAGCGTAGAACGAATGCCTTTTTCGGTCTCCTGGATGGTCGCTGTACATGGTAGATCGTTGATGGGGCATGGACAAAGCAGAGCGGCGGGCGCGTTTAAGACGCTTGCGCTCGGCTTCCTTAGCTCGCTTCTTGTCGGTGTTACCCGTGCGCCGTCTGCATTCTCGAACGTGATTGCACACGTGCACGGATGTTTCACCCCCACTCATGATCATTCACTTGGCGGATATGCTGCAATTTTTTTTCCTCTCTCTCTTTCCTTCCAGACTCAGCGAGTTCCGTACCGGGGGTCCAAGCTGACCCACATCCTGAAAGACTCTCTGGGTGGTACGTGTCGAACCCTCATGATTGCAGCCGTGTCGCCGTCCAAGCTCAGTTACACTGACACCCACAACACTCTTAAGTACGCCGAGCGGGCCATGAAGATTGAGCTGCAGGTACGGGAAAATTTGTGCGTGTTGTTGTCTGTCGTCCTGTGTAGCGATACGAACGCGTAAAAAAAAACTTGAGGAGCTAGAGATTTCTGTAAATTACGTGGATAGTCAAGCCAGCATGCAATGAGAACAAGGCGTAATTACTAATGGCCTGTCCCGCTTTTTCTTTTCTACTATTAGCCGTTCATGTAATGCCATGCTGCAGTCAAGTTCAGCCAAACCAATTTCCCCCTTGGTATGGGTTTTTTAGTGCAGACCATTACTTTTTGCTTCATTAGAATAAGTGTTCACCTTGTATTGCAGGTATATTCCGTGATAAGGGTGTTGTATATTTTTCACATGGTACAGTTCAATCTTGTTTCAGTTAGGCTGCATCGGATATGAAATTGGCTTCGTTATTTCCTAAAGGTTATAAACATGTATTGAAGCTACAGCATTGAAGAGCTCGTTATGGCTGCCTGCTTCTTGCATGAAAAAGTAAATGCGAGAATAAAAGTCTATCTTGATCATTCTTTGTTAGAAGACAAGCTCCATAGTGTTTTATGAAATGAGTAGGCACTGTGTTCTCATCTCGGCTCTCTGACGACGATACTGTGTATGAATGGGGTTGTTGGACTATTCTTTTGCAGAATTTCAGAAATTAACTCTAATGATTCGAAAGAATGGCACCATTTATGCACAAAATAGTGCTATGAATTTGGTGACATCTGGCACAAATTCGTCAAATTCTATCTTAACATGGGTTTAAACTTACACTGTCGCAGACCGATTTTTCTTTTTGCACTCACAAAATTTGGACTTGTTAGATATTCCGGACATCATTAGTCAACCATCCGAGATCCTATGGAGCTAATGCATTTTTCTTTATCGACTTTACAAATGAATTTGCACCTGGAACTTGGATTTTTTAACTAAATTTCTCATTTTTAGCCACACTATTGGCCGTTGCAGACGTCGCAATATTAAAGCTTCCACTGACAAGAAATCTGACGTGTTTCAAGGCTGTGAAAAACTTTCCCTGTACAGTAGAGCGCCGATTCTGAGGGGTGGATCGCAGTCTTTGTTCGAACAGTATGTACGCCAACTTCGCCACGAGTTGGTGCATCAGACCAGAAAAGTCGTCTTTTTCATCGTCAACTGTGGTGTGCCCGGTAATGTGCCCAACCTCGGGAAATAACTGAACAGCGTTGCTTGTTAGGTGAATTTGTAGTTGTCAGTTATGACGGCACTTAGCGCAAACACTAGACAAGAGACTAACGAGAGGATGTCGATGCAGCGCTTTCTTCCAACTAAAATTCATTTTAAGGAAACACACATACATATGCAGACCAAACGACCAAAGAAAAAAAAAGAGAGTGGTGAGAAAAAAAGTACACTCAAATCTCGGTATAACGAATCTGGATATAACAAAATATTTGGTTATAACGAAGTAAATGAAAAATAGTGTCGCAATAGATTTAGTGTTAAGAATAAACCTTTATAACAAATTTTTGGATATAGCAAACTTATTTTCCTAATGAGGTTTCAGTGTAGATAAAATATAAAATGTATGCTCTATGAGAAGAATAACAGGTCAGCATCGTGTTTTTTTTTTTTTTCTGCTCGCACCGGAAGGATAACATATTAGTGGATGTCTACCCTACGTTTGATTTCCAGCCCATTTTAATTGTTTTACCAGCAGATTTTCAGAATGATCCTTATCGCTTCCCGTAGATTCATCGCATTGAGATTCGACTATACTTACTGAGTGATTTTTTTCTTTTTTTTTTTTTCACACTGCTACTTCTGTTTTAGTTCTTGGTGGTAATTGCACTCTTCACGCAGGCCAAGAAAAACGTCCTCAACGTCAACGTCCACATGTCGATGTACAGCTCGCTCATAGAGGAGTACAAGCAAAAGGTGAGACACCAATTGCCCTCGGGGCCTGATATAACGATCGTCTCGCGCTTGCCTTGTTTAAGCTTTGCCGTTCCTTATGGTGGCATGTGAGTTAGCTGCAGTATGTTTCAATTGATGAATGAGTGAAATTGCTTTTTATCACTGCGTGATGCATGCTATATTTATTTAGAAGTACCTTACAGGCCTCTAAAAGCATTGTGTAAGGGGGTAATACAAGAAACATTCTAAAGGTGTATAGTGTACAAAAAGATAAAAAAGAATATGAGAACAGCATAAAAAAAGTTATTGTAACACAAGTGGGAATATATTACCTAACATGATAGCGTTATGTTCTATACAACAAAAAGAGGCAAAAAATGCACATTTTCAAGCATGACAGCTCATTTACACAATAGAGCAAAAGCCCACATATAACGGCCCCACTTAAAACAAACTTTTGCTTAAAACGAACAATATCCGCCTGACCGTAAAAGTACACATTCGTTCAATGGCATAAAATCGCACTTGCAACGAACGTCTCTGAGCACCGTTGATCGGTTTTAACTAACGGGGTCGGCGCTCTGCCGACTTGCCTGGAAACCACTTTCGGCCACCGATCAGGCATCGGTGAGGTGTCCATACATTCTTACTGTTAAACGCCGAACCTGCCTTCGCGCCCCTCTAGGTTCCGCTCTCCCCGACCGCTTTTTGTTACGCACCCCTCCGTCCTTTGTCCCCCCGCTACTCTGAGCATCCCGCATCACCAGACAAGGCCCATGTTTTCACACTGCCACCGATCTTTCAAAGACTCGTTGGTGATCTACCATGTTTTTGATTGCTGATACTGTTGTTGACGTCGCCGGCCTGGAGTGACCAGTCTATTCGCCAACATCGTCGGCCACCGGCTGTATCCGATTGTCTGCGTCTAGTGCACGCGCTTTCGCTACCCCACCGACTCTGATAATTTGCGATTCGTTTCGTGTTCAGGACTTCTTCTCGCTCACTTCACACTCGGCTCAGCATGCCCTCTGCACGCGTGTGGAAGCCCGAAAACGGCTGTTAATTTGCGCGGAACGAATCGCAGAATGTCGAAGTTGGTGAGGCCACGTGAACCCGCCGGCGCAACAAATTGATTTTTTAAACACCGCCGCGCTAACCGATCCAGGCAGCCGTGTTTTGACTTCTGCGCGAGCAGGCACTCTTTCAAGTTTTTCTACATGTGAGTTGCGTGTTTTGCGGACCTTTTAAGCAAGTGCCCAACCTACCTCCTTCCCGTGTATGATAATGTATGGTAGCGCAGACAAAGGACACGGACAAGAGAAGGCACATTCAAGACAACACAGCGCTAGCTTTCAACAACAGTTTATTACACACAGATCCCCCTAGTGTATGTGCTCCACCACGCCATTGTCATGTGCGTATCTCACAACCATGAATTATAACTGTTATAATTCATGGTTGTGATAGCTATGCACATGTGATATTTCAAGGTCATTCCAAGGGAGAAAGGCCTTTTGTAGAGTGAGATGATTAAATGAATTAGTCTTTTCGTAAATGCGCATGAAGGTAAACTGATTAATAAACGTTGTGACCTTTAGGGGAGAGGTTGAAGCTGTAAAAATGATGACGGTGCGTTATAGATGTATTTATGAAACAATGTTAGCAGGGCAATATCTGGACAATTATGCAAAGGATGACAACATAAGAGTTTAATTTGCGTGACGCTTTTTATAGTCTTAACAACATGAAATGAAACGTGCAGCCCTATTTTGTACAAATTTGACTTTTTTGCTTTGATATTTTTTATGGAAAGACCAAATGAATGCTACGTACTCAAGCTGAAGTTGTACAAATGTTTGATATGCTAGTTTACGAATATCATTAGTAGAATGATGTAACTTGCAACGATTGTAGCCCAAAGATCTGGAAGCATTGATGCAAATGTACTCAATATGAGTTCACCATGACAGGGTAGAAGTTAGATGAACACCAAGGTATTTATATTCTGTGTCATACAAGATAGTTGTGTTACTTATATGGTACGTAAAGGTAGATGTAGTATGCAACTAAAACTAATGATTTTGCATTTAGCAACATGTAGGGACTAATTCATATTGTCACGCGCTAAGAGCTCGAACAAACGTACAAAGGGACGCGACTGTCCAAAATCTCAGAGACAAAGAAGGATGTCTCCGCTGGCAAGGGTTGCTTGTTTTCGTCTTTCTCGTTCACCGGCACAGAACTGACCCACTGTTCACTGGCACAGAACACCAGGTGGCATTACTCCTCCTCCCAAGAGAGCATCGACCCGATGCTCAAACAAAAGTGTGCACAGCAGTGGGTCGAAGTAGGTAACATAAAGAAACAATAAACAAATTAGTGCACGAGAGAAAATGCGTCCTGGGCCCGGCAATCGGAAATAAGCGGCATTCACTGTTCACATGAAGAGTTCACTGGCACAAGAAGAAAATTCGCATCACCGCGTAAAGTATCGTTTTAGGCGGACTACGTGTGCAGTCTCTGAGCGTGGTAACCTGCGCTGGGATGATGGTGAGCCTCCGTCTGGAACCACTTCGTAGTTCACGTCGCTCACACGTCTGAGTACTTTGTAAGGTCCAAAGTACTTCCTTAAGAGTTTCTCACTGAGACCTCGCCGCCTAATGGGTGTCCAAACCCAAACTTGGTCACCAGGTTCATAATTAACTTCTCGATGGTGGGTGTTGTACCGCCGTGCATCTGCGCACTGTTGAGTTCGGATGTGCACACGGGCCAGTTGTTGTGCTTCCTTAGTGCGCTGAATGTACTCATTGATGTCGGGGGCTAATTGGTCGAGCTTGTCGATGTCCTCATATGGAATCATTGCGTCCAGCATAGTTCTAACATCTCGACCATAAACGAGCCGGAATGGTGTGAAGCGTGGTTTCCTGCGTTGCAGTGTTATACGCAAATGTTACGTACGGCAGGATGTCGTCCCACGTTTTGTGCTGCACATCCACGTACATAGAGATCATGTCAGCTAGCATTTTGTTTAGCCTTTCTGTTAAACCATTACTCTGAGGGTGATACGCAGTGGTCTTTCGATGGGTTGTGTAACTCAACCTGAAGATATCATCCAAGAGTTTCGCTGTGAATGATGTCCCTCGATCAGTGATGACATATGACGGGGCGCCATTCCGTAGCACAATTTGATGCATAAAAAAAACTGGCAACTTCAGATGCGGTCCCTCGTGGCAATGCCTTCGTCTCAGCGTAACGCGTCAAATAATCGGTTGCGACAATAATCCATTTGTTGCCAGAAGAAGACAAAGGAAACGGGCCTAGGAGGTCCATCCCCACTTGTTCAAACGGTGTACGGGGTGGATCGATTGGTTGTAGATGGCCTGCAGGCTTTAAATGTGGTGTCTTGCGACGCTGGCATTCACGGCATCCCTTCACGTAGCGTTTGACACAGGCAGACATTTTAGGCCAGTAGTAGAGTTGTCGCACCCGATCCATAGTTCTCGAGTAGCCCAGATGGCCAGATGTGGGCTCGTCGTGGCAAGCTAATAAGACGTCATCGTGGAGGGCTTCAGGCACGACGAGGAAGATGAGATCTGTCACCAGCACCGGCGTTCCTTTGTATAAGACGCCATTTCGTAGGCAAAATGATGGCAACGTTTGCGACATCGGACGAGGAATGGGCGCAGTGCCACCTTCTAAATGATCTATAATCATTCTTAGATTGGCGTCATTTCGTTGATGCGACATCAGATCCGGTCCGCTGACAGTTGCCACGAAGGCGCTGTCCTCTTCTGCGCTAGTACTGGCGAATCGAAGAGGTGCTCGTGATAGCGTGTCAGCGTCTTCGTGCTTTTTGCCTGACTTGTACACGATGGTGACATCAAATTCCTGAAGGCGCAGACTCCATCGTGCTAATCCTCCTGAAGGGTCTCGTAGATTGGTCAACCAGCACAAAGCATGATGGTCAGTCACCACATTAAATGGTCTTTCATAGAGATATGGCCTAAACTTTGTAATTGCCCAAATGACTGCGAGACATTCTTTCTCTGATGTGGAATAGTTAGATTCTGCGCGAGACAGTGTGCGACTTGCGTAGGCTATCACCTGTTCAATGCCATCTTGTCTTTGTACCAAAATAGCTCCAAGACCAATATTGCTGGCATCAGTGCGTACTTCAGTGTCAGCATCTTCATCGAAGTGGCCGAGCACGGGAGGGGAAGAGAGCCGGTGCTGTAGTTCCGCAAAGGCAGTCTGCTGTTCGTCAGCCCAGACAAATGGTGTGTCATCACGCGTGAGGCGTAATAGTGGCTCCGCAATGTTAGAGAAATTTTCAATAAAGCGCCGGTAATAAGCGCACAGACCCAGAAATCGTCGAACACTTTTCTTGTCAGTTGGAGGTGGAAAAGCGGTGACGGCAGCAGTTTTTTCAGGATCAGGCCGAACACCAACGGCGCTCACGACGTGGCCAAGAAACTTTAATTCTTCGTAGCCGAAATGACATTTCTCGGGCTTGAGTGTGAGATCGGCCGATCTAATGGCTTCGAGCACATTCCGAAGGCGACGAAGATGCTCGTCAAACGTTTCTGAAATTACAACGACATCATCGAGGTAGACGAGACAGCTTTTCCACTTGAGGTTTGCCAGGACGGTGTCCATCATTCGCTGGAATGTGGCTGGAGCAGAACAAAGGCCGAAAGGGAGCACTTTGAATTCATAAAGGCCATCCGGCGTTACAAAAGCGGTCTTTTCCCGGTCACGTTCATCGACCTTTATTTGCCAATAACCGCTCTTCAAGTCGACGGATGAAAAATACGTCGCGCGTCGCAGCTTGTCCAGAGAATCATCGACTCTGGGCAATGGGTACACGTCTTTCTTTGTGATATTGTTCAACTTTCTGTAGTCGACACAAAAGCGAAGCGTGCCATCTTTCTTTTTCACAAGAACGAATGGTGATGACCAAGGGCTTCTTGAAGGCTGTATAACGCCATCCTGAAGCATTTCCTTAACCTGCGTTTGAATCA